CAATCTACGAAATTTTCATGCTTTTGTCAATATGCTGTTTTAACATATGACACATATGTATATCCTTAAAGATTATGCGGCAAAATCCTAAATTGTAGCGTCGACACATCTTGTGATTTTGAAAACTCTTTTTTCCCCTTCTCTAGAAGACGATTTGCAGCGTGCGTTCGAGTCGTAGAGATCTGCCTAAGAATAGATGACGTGTTTTATCCAGGGGAAAAATAGAGCGCAGCCAAAATTCGATACCTACGCGCGGAACGATATCAGGCGAAATAGAAATAGTATGCGTTATAAATAAATATACAGTGAATTTTGCGCTTGCAAGAAAGTAACGCGCAATATTCGCAATTTACATTTCTCCGCTGCCAAGTTTCCGTTGCGTAGGTAAAAATTTTGCACGTGTTAGATTTTGCGCGCCTTAATATCAGCTGCTTGCACGTCAAACGAGGATTTGCATAATGCGTCGTGCATGAAAATAATGTATTCGCATTTATTTGAATCATCATCATGTACAGATCTATGCCAAAGATGAGAGATTTAAAAAGTTAAGAATTTATTTTAAGCGCCTCTCTATGAAGAACTATTATAGATTCTTTTATTTTATACAATTTCTTTACCAAAGATATGTAATCTGCTGGCAATGAATAAAGATTTTCTTTCTTTAAAAATATATGATCGGTCGGTCCTTGATGTGTTGTATAACGCAATAGTGAACATATAAACGCATCGTGAAAGATAATTACATATAATTGGAGCCTTCTAGTATCGAGTCGAGAGGAAGTGAGGTCAATACGAGAAAGATCTAATTATATATCCGAAGGATTGGAAGACTGCCAACGTCACTTTTGTTTTGTATAATTTTTCTTTTCGTTTAGCACGTCTCTGTTTGCATTGCTCTGCATTTTTGCGAAAAAAATCGGTAGATCGAACGCATCGGTTTTTATAAAAAATTATCCGGTCAATAACTCTAATCTATATTCTTTGTGCAAGACAAGAATCATTTTTATTTGTCGCTTGTAAAACCATGGACGTTTCTCAAATCGACCGAATACTTATCAGAGTGTCTACCCCTGGAAAAACATAGAAAACCTGGAACTCTCAAGGAATTTTTTTGTACCTGGAGAGATCAGGAAATTCTCATGGAATTTTATTGGGACTCAGGGAATTTTTAAAAAAATTCTCTTTAATAATCTTGCTTTTATACTGTAAACAATCTGCAATCCGCCGATAAGCCAAGTTATGAATTATGTGTGTTTAAAATATATTATATAATAAATATATATCTATTTCTGTTTATATACTCAATGTCTTAATGAAATATTGAGAATATGCAATACATATTCTCTATTTTAATTTTTAGTAATAAAAAATGAAAATATTATGCAAGTTAAAAATTTTTATCTTAACGAAAATTTTAATTTGTTTTAGTACATTTGTAAATCTAGCAGTTGAAACTTAAATTGGTTTTGTGTTTTTCCTTTGTATGAGTGAAAAGCATTAGAAAACACGTACATTAAAAACATTTATTTTTGGAAATTGCATCAAAAAATCTTTAAAATATTTTCTTTACCTAAAATTTTGAACAAAAATACCTAGAAGATCAGGGAATTTTCAGGGGATCTTTTTGCAATATTTAAGTAGATTATTATAACCTAACTCTGCTTATACAGCGGATTTTTGCACAGCATACGCAATTTTTTTTTCGACAATTTTAAGATAATGATATTCGTAAAAGTGCACGTCTGCGTTCAGAATGCTCGATAACAACTTTTGAACTTTGAACTTCATGGAGTTCGTTGGCATAATTCAATTGCCTATCTTTATTACGCTTACGTAAGATAATTCAAAAATCGTGGTTAATTCAAGAATCGGTGAGATCAGCTTAACACTGTGCGGACCGCGCTTATCAGGGCGCGGAATTACAATTGTCTTCAAACATAGTCTTCCTCGTATTATTGCGAAATTGAGCTGTGAAGGACATCCAGTAAAAACAAAGTATTTACATACCGATTATATGTCATTTATGTATTTCGAAAGTGTTTTAAGCCTATTTTTTTCGTGAAACTTACGAAAATAGGTATTAGCATCTTTGTGTGTGCATTCCATTAAAAAATCAGCATTTTTGCATTTCCTTAAAATCTAATTACTTCAAAACTAAATTTTGTTTTAATATTATTTTCAAAATAAATATTTTACATATTTTTTTCTGGAATATGAATAAAAATTTTTAAATCACTTAAATATCTATATGAACTTTCGGATGTAGAAATTGAAATGCCCTTGGGCGAAAATGACACTGCTATCAATTCTATCGCATGCATGCTTTCTGGACATATTCACTGGATGTAATAATATAGTGGATTTTGCCAAGAGTCGAAAATAGACTCGACTTAGGTGCCGTCTAATAGAAGCGAATGCGCCAAGCGTTCCATTGCACATCTTCCTTCGTCTTTTAGGATATGCATGGGTTACATTGGCTACAAACGATGCCTATTCTTTGGGAGCATTGGTCCTGGCGCACTCCCTACGTCGGGTCGGCACCAAGTACGAGCTGGCTTGTCTGGTCACTCCCGGAGTTACGGCAACGATGAGGTATCGTTCTTGTCCGAGTTCAATATTGTATTTATTTGATTCTTGAACATTTGCTTGTGATTGAAACGAAAACCTCGTACATTCTTTTTTTATCGGAATTAATTAAGTTTATTAGAAATTTCTGTCATTTTCGTAAACGATGTATTATTATCGTGAATCACACATATAAAATTCCAAAATCTTAAAGAATATTAAATCTATCAATATATATCATATCACGTCTGTGGTTTGGATATTTAAATCATTTTGTCTATAGAGGTGTTTCAGATCACCCCTGTCTACCCCTTTTATTTTGAAAAGGGGATGTGCTAGGAAGTTGGGATAAACATACCATACCATATTTACCATAAAAGTCTATCTGAAGTTTTTGATGATGGTACTTTCATTTTTGGAAAACCCTCGGAAATACCGGAAACCGAGGGCAATTTAAAAATTTTAAATGTCAAAATGGGGCATAAGTTACCGTGAGTTTCCGGTATTTCCGAAGATTTTCTAGAAATAAAAGTACCATCATCAAAAACTTCAGATAGGCTATTATGGTAAACATGCTTTTCTCAACTCCCTAGCACCATCTTTTTTCACAATAAAAAAGGGGTGGACGGTAGTCTATCCGCCGATAAGCCAAGTTATGAATTATGTGTGTTTAAAATATATTATATAATAAATATATATCTATTTCTGTTTATATACTCAATGTCTTAATGAAATATTGAGAATATGCAATACATATTCTCTATTTTAATTTTTAGTAATAAAAAATGAAAATATTATGCAAGTTAAAAATTTTTATCTTAACGAAAATTTTAATTTGTTTTAGTACATTTGTAAATCTAGCAGTTGAAACTTAAATTGGCTTTGTGTTTTTCCTTTGTATGAGTGAAAAGCATTAGAAAACACGTACATTAAAAACATTTATTTTTGGAAATTGCATCAAAAAATCTTTAAAATATTTTCTTTACCTAAAATTTTGAACAAAAATACCTAGAAGATCAGGGAATTTTCAGGGGATCTTTTTGCAATATTTAAGTAGATTATTATAACCTAACTCTGCTTATACAGCGGATTTTTGCACAGCATACGCAATTTTTTTTTCGACAATTTTAAGATAATGATATTCGTAAAAGTGCACGTCTGCGTTCAGAATGCTCGATAACAACTTTTGAACTTTGAACTTCATGGAGTTCGTTGGCATAATTCAATTGCCTATCTTTATTACGCTTACGTAAGATAATTCAAAAATCGTGGTTAATTCAAGAATCGGTGAGATCAGCTTAACACTGTGCGGACCGCGCTTATCAGGGCGCGGAATTACAATTGTCTTCAAACATAGTCTTCCTCGTATTATTGCGAAATTGAGCTGTGAAGGACATCCAGTAAAAACAAAGTATTTACATACCGATTATATGTCATTTATGTATTTCGAAAGTGTTTTAAGCCTATTTTTTTCGTGAAACTTACGAAAATAGGTATTAGCATCTTTGTGTGTGCATTCCATTAAAAAATCAGCATTTTTGCATTTCCTTAAAATCTAATTACTTCAAAACTAAATTTTGTTTTAATATTATTTTCAAAATAAATATTTTACATATTTTTTTCTGGAATATGAATAAAAATTTTTAAATCACTTAAATATCTATATGAACTTTCGGATGTAGAAATTGAAATGCCCTTGGGCGAAAATGACACTGCTATCAATTCTATCGCATGCACGCTTTCTGGACATATTCACTGGATGTAATAATATAGTGGATTTTGCCAAGAGTCGAAAATAGACTCGACTTAGGTGCCGTCTAATAGAAGCGAATGCGCCAAGCGTTCCATTGCACATCTTCCTTCGTCTTTTAGGATATGCATGGGTTACATTGGCTACAAACGATGCCTATTCTTTGGGAGCATTGGTCCTGGCGCACTCCCTACGTCGGGTCGGCACCAAGTACGAGCTGGCTTGTCTGGTCACTCCCGGAGTTACGGCAACGATGAGGTATCGTTCTTGTCCGAGTTCAATATTGTATTTATTTGATTCTTGAACATTTGCTTGTGATTGAAACGAAAACCTCGTACATTCTTTTTTTATCGGAATTAATTAAGTTTATTAGAAATTTCTGTCATTTTCGTAAACGATGTATTATTATCGTGAATCACACATATAAAATTCCAAAATCTTAAAGAATATTAAATCTATCAATATATATCATATCACGTCTGTGGTTTGGATATTTAAATTATTTTGTCTATAGAGGTGTTTCAGATCACCCCTGTCTACCCCTTTTATTTTGAAAAGGGGATGTGCTAGGAAGTTGGGATAAACATACCATACCATATTTACCATAAAAGTCTATCTGAAGTTTTTGATGATGGTACTTTCATTTTTGGAAAACCCTCGGAAATACCGGAAACCGAGGGCAATTTAAAAATTTTAAATGTCAAAATGGGGCATAAGTTACCGTGAGTTTCCGGTATTTCCGAAGATTTTCTAGAAATAAAAGTACCATCATCAAAAACTTCAGATAGGCTTTTATGGTAAACATGCTTTTCTCAACTTTCTAGCACCATCTTTTTTCACAATAAAAAAGGGGTGGACGGTAGTCTGAAACACCCTGTATAATGACATTGGCCAGATTCTCATTGTAAAATGCTATGACATAACTCAAACAACCAGCATGCTTCTTGTCTTAGAGAAAAATTGGCGGCAGTATTCTCCTTGGTGCAGGAAGTTAATGTTCTCGATTCCAAAGACGAGGCAAATTTGGCCTTACTGGCTAGACCAGAATTGGGAATCACTTTTACCAAATTACATTGCTGGAGGCTAACTCAATATGAAAAATGTGTGTTCATCGATGCAGATGCGCTTGTGAGTAACGCAAAAAAATTTTATACTGTATATTTTATATTATCTTATATCTCTCTACAATAAATAAAATTGAAGCTATAATTAGAGCTGGAGAACTAAAATAAAACGATTTTATTTTATACTATTCCATTTTTTGTTATAACATGTATGAAAAGTGAATTAATATCAAATAATAAATTAACAAAATTATAACCTGCTCACCCTCATGATTGCTCCTCCTTGTCGCTCTCGATACCTCGTCTTATCTGCTTTTCCTTTATTTTTCCCTTGTCGTTTTCTCATGGCATTTACACGACACTCACTCGTAAAAACGATGTCAATTATGCACACAAATCTACGCGATTTAACCTAACGCGTACTTTATATTTTATATCGCAACGGAAAAACGCGAGAATTACAGTTATACGAAGTATGGAAATGACGGTTATACGAAGTTAGCCATCCGTTTCGCGTTCAAAAATCACGCGACCAAATTCACATAATGCTTTCTCTGTTACTTAATATATATATATATATATATGCACATATTAATTTATAATTTATAAAAATTAATCTTACAATAAAAAATAAATTAGAATTAGAGCTTTGATATTTATAATGAATTGATAAAGCTATCAAGTATATTTATTTCTAGGTGGTACGAAATTGCGATGAACTATTCGAGCGCGAAGAATTATCGGCCGCGCCCGATGTCGGCTGGCCCGATTGCTTCAATTCCGGAGTATTTGTGTTCAGACCGTCTCAACAAACGTTCGCGTCAATCACTGCGTTTGCCGCGGCCAAGGGCTCGTTCGATGGCGGCGATCAAGGCTTATTAAATATGTACTTCAGCGATTGGGCCTCTAAGGACATCTCCAAACATCTACCATTTATTTACAACATGTGTTCCACCGCGACGTATTCGTATCTGCCTGCATTTAAGCAGTAAGCGATCGCACTTTTTCGACTCGCCATAATAAAATTTTTTTTTATTTTTGTTTTTTTTAAATTTTTTTATTTGATAATTCATTTGTTTATATGTATATATATGTATTTTTTTAGATTTGGCGAGGATGTCAGAATAATACACTTTATTGGCATAACGAAACCCTGGTTACAGTATTTTGATACCCTAACCGGTGTCGTTCAACCACCGCCAGGATCTGTGCATTTGCAACCGCTGTTGCAAGTGTGGTGGAACATATTCTGCGAGCAAGTGCATCCACAGCTATCGCCCTCCATGGTAAGCTTTATTAATCCATTTGAGAATAGTGTGCGTTTAATACTCTAAAATGACGAGTGATATTTCTAAATGACGCCGCAAACGCACAATTATTTTTATATTTTATATTTCTAATAAAAAGATTTCTCTTGCACACATAAATGATATGAATATTTTAATAATTATATATAATTTTTAATAATTATATATAATTATTTTATTATATTTGTGCATATTTTTTGGCTGTAAGAAATAAAAAATATCGCAACTTTTTTCTTACACTTGCGCATTTATTTCATTTACAAGCAAAACAGTGAACAATTATGTTCAATTATAAATATGATAAGGGTAAGACTCTCTACTATATGCGCCTCTAATGCTCGTAGTTGTTTTGTAATAAATTATTTTCTATATGTGAATTTTACTTTACGAAATTTTACTTTAGCATTTCAAAAAATACATTTTATTTTAATGTGCCACATATTTTATATAAAATGTAGCCTCACGATGTAATTCTGAAATTGTTTTTATCGATTGATTGTTTTCATTATTATGAGCTTTTCAAAATTTTTGCTCGCGAATATCAGAGTTACATCGAGTTGCATTCACGGTTTTTTTTTTTTACAAATATAGTCAAGCAAATTTGAAATTCTTTTTGCTTGCATATTTCTTAACGATTTTTTAATGCTGTATGAAAGCTTGTATAATAAGTGGTAGCATTTAAGAATAGATAGCTAGATCTTTTTTGTTGCATCTTAATATAATGAAAAAGTGCATACATTTTTTCTGTATTTTTGATATATTTTGAACCCTATAGTTCTTAGAAAAAAGAAAGTATTTAATTATTGTATTTTAAGTCGTGGGATTCAAGGTATATTTTTTATTTACTTTTTCTTTGTAAATATTGTAAATAGTGTATATTAATAGCTACATTTTCTTCAATATAATTTTATATCAAAAACATATTCTTGTATTTAAAAAATGTAATTTGAGAAGCTAATGTTTATATATTACTTCATCTAATCGATATCTTCCAAATGATTAATGCAGCTATTAATATAACAGATTTTTCTATGATTCTATCCCAGTGTCTATTTTTTTTAATTTGATTTTTTTGTGTTTTCTAGCTTATTCACTTGTAATTCTTATTCACCTGTAAAGATTTAAGTCAGCCACTATATATTAATGCTTAATTGCATTATTTGTAATTGTTGCATTGTTTTTAATAAATGGATCGAGCATGAATGTTATGCATATGGCACTTTGAGAAGCTATTGATACAATACGTATTTATCGTAAAATAAAATTTTACATAATCAAAAATTGTGTAATATCAAATATGTATATAGTATGAAAAACATGACACTGTATATAAGAAAAATGGACACTGCCAATACTTATCGTTAGTTCACTACTAACCCATTGAGTGTGCATTTTTCTGTTTTGGCATGATGCTTGCATAGGCCACCAGCACATTGGCTCCAATTTGGCACACATTTGCTTCCTCGTCCTACCTATCTCCCGTTTCCGATATTTCCGTTTATTCTAATACAATAAACCGTAACGACGGTTATTCTCGAACGCCGGATTTCTCAGAATTTAAAGATCCCTGGGAGGAATACTCTCCACAGAATGATTCGTTTCCAACCAATGACAGTGCATTGAGTGACAAGAATGATAATTATTATTGTGGAGCAGGATATGAGAAAGAAGCTACGGATGTTGATCATAAAAATGATCACAATACATCTAAATTCGAACACAATCAACAATTTCACTACGAGCAACATTCTTCTTATGGTCTTAAACAAACACAACATAGTTTGCATCCTACGAATACTGAACATAATCAACACCGAGAACATGCAACTTCTCATTTTGAAGAGAGTCATAGTCAAAGACAAATACAACACACTGAAGATTATTGGCAACAATATCAGCCGAGTGAACAGAAACACCATCCCGAGCAATATGGACACAAAGAGCAAAAACAGCATAATGAACAATATCAACAACATCATTATGAGCAAAGACACCATAATGAGCCACATCATTATAATGAACAGAGACAACATAACGAGCATCATCAGCATTCTAGACAATCTCATCAGCATGATTATTATAAAATGGATGATCATCATATCCAGCATCAATCGGATCACGAACAACCGCATTCTACCGAAAATCATGCGCAATACGCTAGTGACCAAACTGCTCACGTAGACTATCAAAGTCATACCGTTTCTCATAACGATTCCCACCCGCAGCATCATATCCAAAATAGTGCTCAAGACAATTTTACATCTCACTGTCGTCAAAGTAACGAGAAAAATAGCGAGCAATCGTCGGAAACTGCGAATAAACAGACAGACATGCAGAGAATCAATTTCCACCCTTCCTCTCCTACACCTTGTACAGATCTCCACAATGTAGCCATGCGATCTGACCCGAATATAACGGAACATCTAGACAATGCAAATGTAAGTAATTGTTCCCGCATCTTTTTTTTAAATTCGCGTTAAATACATTTTTGTTATTGTACGTTTATGTACATATTTTCGGAACTATATTCGCTTTACTAAAAACGAAAGTTTACAATTATATTATAATACAATTGTAATTTTACTATTGTAAAAAGAATTTTTTCCAGTTACATGGTGTATTGTTATACCGTTCATATATATTCATCATTTGTTTTAATAATGCTTGGGACATTACTTGCACTTTTATTGGGAATATTCATTGTATAGAGTAATAGTATATAAAGTTTATATCATATGCCTGAAATCATTTTGTTTGTCACTTATTTATTACTGTTATTACATGCACATTTTCATCAGAGATAAGATAGATAATTATGTTTATCTTCTAAAAAATGATTTTTAGTCTTCAATTTATCTTTATGTGCACTAACCCCATATTACTTCCCACATTGTATACTTGTGATACTCTCGTGCATCGTGCTTTAAAGTGTAAGTAGCATTAGTCTTGTATTATAAATGTGGTTTGTCCTGAGGAATACGGAAGAGATGATAATATGTTGTAATGTTCGTGTGTTTATCGTAGCCTATACGTTGTCATTTTTACATTAGCTGACTCTCCTCGATATCCCGAATAGTTTAAGATGAAGGAATATTTGTTTTAATTGCACAGACGGGTATCGCCGGTGCCTTGGCTCAGTTGACGTTGGGCGAAGCGAGGAGCGCCGAGCAAATAGCTTTGGAGGAGCATATGAGGAAGCAGAGCTGGGAGCAGGGACAGATCGACTACATGGGTCGCGACAGCTTCGATAATATATGGAAGAAGATCTGCGAGACACTTTCTCTTTCGCCGCAACGTCAACCATCTCCACCTAAAGAGGTAGCTTTATATTAAATAAAATATTTATGCAATTAGCAAAGTTCGGAAGTTTCTGAGTCGTAATCATTAAAATCAATAAGCAAGTAGTTAAATTCCGCAAAAGTTGCGTAAGCTACAATGAAGATCGAGTTCTGATGATGAATAATTCATATTACTGATAAATACTTGCAGGATGTTGCTGAATCAAAGGAAAGCGCCGCTACTGCTGACGATGAGTCTGCTGAGCTAAAGACTGTTACACCTATAGATGTCGAAGTAAATAAAGTTGGTACGTCTCTCTCTTATATACATAATTGAGAAAATACGTATTTTAAATAAGATCGTAACAAATATTTCAAGCGCATTTATGAATCCGAATTACACAGGTAATTTCATGTATTTTTAATTAAAAAATATCTCGTGCACACACCAGAAACTGAGATAACGACACTTAGCTCGACGAGCACTTTTCACGAGTTGTTAAAATAAAGAGATTTGCGAGATATTTAAAATAATTTAATGTGCTCTCACAATGCAAAAAGCCATTAACTGTTTCCTCGAGATGCTTTGCGTTTTTGTTTGTTTTTTTCGTTTCACTTAATACAGCATGCGGTATTCACTTTCACAGTTTCGAATTGAAGACGTTGTATCAAGCGAGGAAACGATTGAAAATCGAGATGCTTATATTGGGACGCGATATTTAATTTGTTGCGATATTCCGAAGATACAAAAAAAAACGATATGTCTTGTTAATACAATTGATCTAGTTTGAGTGTTTGAAACAGGAACAGAGGACAGCAACTAACAGATCCTGGCGCCATAGCATTGCTGCGTCTTGTATTGTCGTTTTGCTTTAATGGGGTAAATATTTTATGCGCTCACACAAAACATCGTATCATTACTTCTTTTTTTCTTTATCCTTACTTCAAATGACAAAATTACGTAAGATTATGACACCTTCCAAAATTATATCATATACTAAACTAGCTCATAAAATGCATAAATTCAATTATTTCTTTATTTTTATATATTGAATTTTATCTCATTTTTATATAATACGAAAAACTTTATAAATGTCATATTTTTAAATTAACAAATTATTTACATTTGCAATGCAGTTTTAAATTTTGTTATAGACATGTATTAAAACGTGTGAGATACAATTTAATACAAATACTAGGAAAATACTTACGCTTTTGTATATGAACATAATTGAGAAATATAATAGCATGCCTGTTTTATAGATTATCTATTTCAGTTGTTTACTAATTAAACATTTTTTGGAACATTGCTTCTTTAACTTGCTGCAAAATAATCATTTATATGCTTTAAAATTGCCATGCATTACATATGCAAAATATTAAGTTACATCGGTTACGCTTTATACGCTTTACATTAATAACGAGCACATGAGCATTATTTATATGTTTCACATGTATGTTAAAATCATACATATTGTCAAATATGTATTATTACCAATGCATTCATTTCTTCATAGTTCATGTTTTCACTTGAGCACATTGCACTGTTCAAACTCGTGGCGCATTTTAATATATGGGAATAGAATCATGATCGTCATTGCCTATCTTGCCTAAGGTTACAAAATGTAACATCTGTAAATACGAGTATGTCGTTGTTTCTCGCATTAATTGATATTTTTATTCCTATTTGAATTGATAAGAAACAGTGTTTATCATATAGAATTTTTGCACGATTTCTTTGCATAATACAATTTTTTATTAGGATAGTTTTCTCTGTATACTTTTATAAATATTTGTCTGACTATTTATATATCTGTCATGTTCTCTTCTCCCTTCATCTAGATGAGGCGGATAAGGATCTAACGCAATCTCTAGTATGCGAAGCTTCCGAGGAAAAGCTTTCGGCGGCGCAAACTACGTGTGAGATTAGTGACGAAAGCGTCACCATCGCGCAATCCTCTGAGCAGAAAGCATCTGCGTTACCTTCCGAAGAAAGTGTCACGGTACAAGCTGCTGCAATAAAGGTATCAAGCGAGCTGATACAACCGGCCGCAATAGAAAGCGCAAAACCAACAGACAAAAAATTATGCGAAACAAGTACTGAATTGTCTTCTACCCAAGAATCGGCGTCTCAAGCCAAAAACGAAAGTCTTTCTGTCGAAACGCAACAAGTTGATTCACAAGCATCAACATGTCTCTTGGTAGATGCCGCCTGTAAGAAAGATGTAATGCCTGTTACGCAAATTGAGAGCACGCCTATTGAGATGAAACTAGAAACTCCAGCTTCCGTTACTCAAGACGCAACGGAGCTTAAAACAACTGAAATTAGCGTAGATAGTCCACAGAATATCGCTGCTTCTTCTATAACGAGCGAAGCGTCGCTGAAAGAAACCGCGAAACGTGTTATCGAATCCGATGTAACGCAACCTCTCACGATAGATCCGAGTGAGCGGCACGCAGAGATGCTGCTGGCGGCTTCTGAAATTTCCACCGTGAGTCCCGTGCCTATCCAGGTAGCGGAATCGGTTCTTCAGGCGGAACCCAAAGAGTCCGTGTCAGGCGCGGCTGTAGCCATGCGCGATCAAGCAATCGCTACGACGGTCACAGCCGTGCATGAATCCACGGATATCGTTCCCGCAGCGATCACAGTGGAATCTGTTCAATTGAACGGATCGGATTGTGAGAAACACGATGATATCGCAACTGTAGTTGCCAATTTATCGGAAAGTGCTGACCTTTCTGCTCGACAGGCAAAAGAATTCGCGAATGACTTAGTTATCACAAAAGATGCACCATCAGAAACATCATCGGCTACTGTAGAGACGTCGTGTCTCCAGAAACATCATCTGTAAAAGTGGAAAAATCAGCGGAACCCGCGGAACAGGTTGATAGAACAACGTTGATAGAAACACCGGAACCAAAGTCTCTAATGCAAATTGTAAAGATGGAAGCGGCAGAAGCGAAATCCGCAGAGCAAATTGTAAAAGCAGAAACGGCAGAGTGTACCGAACAAATTAAGCAAACCAAGATAACGGAAGCAGCAGTAATAGCGAAATCGTCTAGCAAAATTCCAGAAACATCAGAGATTGCCGAGCCAAGTTCGGCGGAAGAACCTACTGAAGCGAAAGCGCTCAATATCCCATCGACGCCGACAGTGATCGAGGCTACACCGCCGACCAGTCCGTCTGTAGAGAGCACGCAGGAGGCGGAAGAAAAGCAAGCCGAGAAGAAGAGCCTAAAGAAGTCCGATTCGCCGGATGGTGCGGATGGAGAAGGTGCGGACAAAAAGGCGGTGAAGAAGACGGTAAAGAAGATGGTGAAGAAACCGAAAACGAAACCTGAGGAGACTCCATCGACCACGGCGGAGGGCGCAACCGCCGCGGACGCTTCCCAGAGCAAGCCAAAAAAGACAGTGAAAGTCACAAAGAAAATCGGCGCGAAGACCGGACAGACTCTAGAAACCGACACGAGTGTGCCGGAGACCCCGCCGCCGCCGTCGTCGCCAGCCAATGCCGCTGCTGTCGCCTCTGACGTGCCTGTTCCGCCCAAACGAAAGACGAAGAGTACCAACGCGAAAGGAACGACCGGCAAGAAGCCCGAGACGGAAGAGTGATCCGAATCGACAATGACGATACTTAATAACGCGAAAGTCCGAGAGACCGGGAAGAGGTCCTTAATCGTTCCCGATGGACGGGGATATATCGAAGTTCAGAGCTTTAACCTTTTCGAGATTTCACGTTGCTGAGAGACTAAATACTTTCGCGCTCAAATTTTTTTAAATAGTTTTCTTAAGATTTGAAATTTCGTTGAGGAACGGCTCGATTAGCTATTGAGATTCAATAGCTTGCTAAAAAAGTGATAAAAACTGTCAACTATATAATACAGCCGAACGCCGTCTCGAAAGGATTAAAGAACACTTGGTAATAGAAGATTATACTTGCTAGTCTGTTACACAGTTTTTTGATACTTTTAATATATCTCGCAAGAGAAAGTTTCTATATCGCCATTGAGCTTGATATCGCCGAGATATTCGCCGGAAGTATCGAGCGATACGGAAAGTTTAATCGTCGCAATACATAATTCTTATTTATATCAACGCGTTACTCCACACTTGTCTTATATCTCTCTTTTTCTTTTTTTTTATTGATGATATATACTCTACTCATTTTTACATATCGTATTTGTGTAATTATCGTTTTCTCGTGTCTGACGTTATTCAAGCGGGCTCTCGCATATTCCGAATATGTTATATACGGGTTACGATGCAACCTGCTGTGCCTTGCCCGAGCAACGCGAACTTGAATGTCCTATCGTGAGCGAGTATTTTATATCTGTCTATTTACTTCAGTATACCTGATAAATTGCAAGAAGAAGAGAAAACCAACTGTGATTGATCAGTTCTATTGAATCATGTTTAAAATTTACGCAAATCGAACGCCAGTCATAATTTGTGAAATTACCGCGAAGATTTTACGTTTTATATATGTAATGTTATGCAATGTATATAGGGTGTTTCGGAGCGAAAGCAATAAACTTTGTCAGCGTACTCGGAAGCACGCTGGTAAAGTATCTCAGTTTCATTCCGGAACACTAATTCCTGTATATACATTGTAATAACGTCTTGTCATCGCTTATTTACATCGACCGAACGAAATGGAAAATTAAAAAAGAAGATCTTCAACTGATGAATTACAGTTTCATCGAGAAACGAGAAGAGGGAGAGAAAGCATGCTAATTTATATTACACATACGAGAATAACGCAACGCTTTGCGAAAACGGCAACTGAGATATTACGCGAGGAATCTTAACCGTTTATTTTTTTTCTTTATATACACATATATTTATATATATATTAAATTATATTTTTCAGTGTGTATTTTTACTCTGTTTTGTTGATATTTTCAGGAAATATACACCTTTTCTCATGATATATATACACACACACACACACATAGATATATATGTACAAAATCCTTCCTTATTCTAATTTAGATTTAAGCAAGCAAATAATTTTTTTAAAATGCGTACAACACTACTCTTTCAAGAGAATTTATTGCAATATAGTATGTAATACACTGAAAGCTTTTTAATGGTAATTTAAAAAAAGAAGACTTCTATATATATAATAATGTAATTTTGTTATTGATCTAAATGTTTGAAAGAAGAAAGTGATAGGAGATACTCCAAAGATGCATCTATATAGTGCAAGATTTGTAACAAGACTTATCATTAATAAAATATGTATCGTCAATGAAAAATTTATTATTGTTCCAGACAATCGAGTCTGTCGCGCGCGAGAGCAGATTCTGCAGATTTTGGCGGCAAAATGCCAGCAAGAAAAATTTTTTAGTATCTGTTAGTAAAGATATGATGGGCATAGATTAGTAACAGAGCAGATTCTGTTAGATTATCGCTGGCATTTTGCCGACAAAATTCGTGGTCGATACTTTAACAAGATCTGCTCTCGACAGACTTGACTATCTGGATATCTCGTTTTACCGAATACGCATGTATACAGGGTATCTTAGAATTAGACCGACAAAAATTTCAGGTAGTTATAAAGGACACCAAATCGAACCAGTTTTGTCAATAAACTCTGGTCCGCAAATGAATCGTTTTGGCACTAGACAATCAAAGACTAACAAGGGCAAAAATCTTTGAAAAAAAATTTTTTCAGAATTTTATTAATGTGGTTAAATAGAGGTGTTTTTACCATGAAACTTTTGTATAAAACATTTCTCGAATAATTTTTGAGATATATCGCGAAAAGCAAAAAGCCACTCTACATATGAGGGGGTCATTTCACCCCTTAAAATTGTTTTTAAGCCGCAACTGGAAATTTCTAAATTCATCTTTTTTTTTTCCCCCCCCCCCCCCCGATATCTGTGTAAAGTTTCATCAAAATCAGAATTTTCGTATTCGCGATATTTTCTTGTTAATCTTTGATTCTCTAGTGCCAAAACGTTTCATTTGCAGATACGGGTTTATTAACAAAAAATTGGCTTATTTTGATGTTTTTTATGACCTGATGTTTTTCGGTCTAATTCTGGGACACCCTGTATAATTCGACTAAAACTAAGATAGTTCCAAGTATTTAATGAACAGAATTTAATTTTTCAGACAAAAATTCAAGAGTTTTATTAGCGCTATATCACGTGAGCAAACGCAAGGGCGCCCGGTCTCTCAGCGCCGCTTCTGCGCGGCGGAGCAGCGCGCATGCGCGGCGGCATAACGTGCATGCGCGCAGGTGTAGAGAGAGTCGCGGTGCAGCACTGCGGGGGCAGGCAACTCAGGCAAGTATGGGCAGTATGGCCGGTAGTGGCGTAGTAGTGCGCCGCGAGTGACAGATACACGATCGTCCGTTCGACCGCCGCATCCATCATCTCCGGGGTGTCCGCGCGCGCCGCGCGAAACTCCGAGTGGTAGAATGATCGTTTCGATCTGAGTGAAAGAAAGAGAGGGAGAAGAAAGATTAAGAGAGTGAACGAAAGACAGAGAGAGATAAAGATAGGGAGTCCGTGCGGCAACCCGCCACTATCCCCGGTGCCGGTGTGATGATCAAGGATATGGCGGACGATGAGGCCATACAGGCCACCAACGACGACGCCAGCGAGTGCAAGCGTTACGCGGTGCAGCTCGGCTATTGGTGCGACCCGTTCATCAGCTTGTTCGTCAAGCAAACCGCTCGGAAGGCACCCGAGATCAATCGTGGCTATTATGCCAGAGTCAAGGGCATCGAGCTCTTCATTGACAAGTTCCTCAAGGTGAGTGTCAATGCGTTTCGATATATACATTGCGTCCGTTCTTTTTGTCTGTACTTTTTCTCTCTCTCGCTCATCCATTTATTAGACTTGTTTATTTATCCCGTTTCGAGCACACAACGAAAGGCGTAGGTAATACATTTGAAAAGAACGATTTCTCGAACGCGATACTGGATAACGTTCGTTTCCTGCAATTGTACCTTCTGCACTTTCTGCGCTGTGTATCTTCGATATACATCCATTTCGCTTTTGAAAAGTGCGTGCTAAAATGTATGAGCGGGATTTCTTATCGCGAACGCAGAGAGTTCAGATAGGACGAACGCAAAGTCTCGGCGAATATAACCTATAAGAGCAAATAAGAGGAAACAATCGGGGATGATGCGGAGATGGCGGGATGAAAAGGCTAGGAGAGGGGGGGTGAGATACAGCTGATCCGGGTGACAGGGACGTGCAGCGGCGGGAACCTTGACCCACCGGCGGCCGAGGCCCTGTCCCAATTCCCGTGAGGTTCCCCGCTTTTATCGCGACCGTCAGCCGATATATAGGTCAATGAAAAACGCTTTGCGGCGCGTGCAGTAGCTCCTCGTGTCTCATCTCCGAATTGGCACCGGCGAGCCGGCGGTGAAGATGAATATATGGGCAAAAAATGTAGCGGGATAAAAATATTCCACGATTATATACAAGGTATCACAGGATTAAACCGACAAACTTCAAGTGGTTATAAAGGATATCAAAACAAGCCAATTTTGCCAATAAATTTGTATTCGAAGACTAACAAGGAAATCTCGCGAACCCGAAAATTCTGATTTTGATGAAACTTTACACACATAGAGGGAGGGAGGGGGGGGGTAAACAGGTGAATTTAGAAATTTCCGGTTGCGGTTTAAAAACGATTCTAAAGCCCGTATCACACTACACATTAAAGTTTGAGATTGAAAATTAAAGAATGAAATTTGATCAAACAAAAAAAAAATTTTTTTAGTTTTTTTTGCTGTGTTAGTCAAATTCCAATCTTTAATCTTCAATCTTCAATTTTTAATGCGTAGTATGATATGGGCTTAAGGGGTGAAATCACCTCTCATATATAGAGCGGCTTTTTGCTTTTCTCGATATACCTCGAAAATTATTCGAGATATCAAAAAATGTTTTATACGAAAGTTTCATGGTAAAAACACCTCTATTTAACATTACTAAAATTTTGAAAAAACAATTTTTTTAAAAGATTTTTGCTCTTGTTAGTCTTTAATTATCTAGTGCCAAAACAGTTTATTTGCGAACACGAATTTATTGACAAAATTAGCTTGTTTTGGCGTTCTTTATAACCACTTGAAGTTTGTCGGTCTAATTCTAGAACACTCTGTATAAACAAATATTTGTTTCCGGTTTTGAAGTTATTTTATTCGAATACGCGTTAGGAGAGTATCGGAAAAGTATGTATGCATATATACACAAATCTACACACATTTATTTATATAGAGAATCGTGAGCACAAAAACGAAAAATCAATCATTTTTTTTATAATGCAAGTAAAATGTGTTTTTAATCTGTTCTAAGACAGTATAATGGCAGTTTAATGTTGAAAAAAAATTAATTTTTTGTGAAATTTATCATTTATATTAATCTTTTTATTAAAAATATTGCCATAAATTTAAAAATTCTGTTTTAAAGTTTATTTTCATAAATGTCTAAAAAAGCAAAGAGTTTCAATATACTGATTAATCAATAAAATAATTAAAAAACGAATAATTTTATAATTTTAGAAAATATAATATTGTATAGTTATAATTTATACACAAAATAGAGTCTATAAATATTACTGATTAATATTATTAAAAATATAGATATCTTGCTTATGTACACATAATTATAAAGCATAAGAAATTTAAAGAGAAAGAAAATATGTTTATGACATATATTTAGAAATTAGAAAAACATGGTATTATAGTTAATATTATTAGTTTTTAACGGAACTACTTTTATTAGTTTTAACGGAATATGACTTTTTGTGCAGTTGTCTGGCGGTAAAGGACAGATCATAAACTTGGGTTGTGGTTTTGACACACTCTACTGGAGGCTCAGAGAGGCGGGAAATAGCCCCGTGAACTTCGTAGAACTCGACTTTCCCAGTATAACTGCGAAGAAATGTTATCACATCAAGAAACACAAGCAATTAATCGATAAGCTAAACACCGAAGGTATCTTGGAACGCGCGATATTACTATCTCGTTATCTAAAAGTTATCTACGCTCTTTATACACGTTCCACGTAATAATTGTTTTCAGACGGAGAGATCCGATTTTCGACCACAGAACTGCACGCCGCGAATTACCATCTAGTCGGTACAGATCTGCGACACATAGCGGAGTTGAATAACAAGTTGACCCAAGCCGAAGTCAATTTCAATTTACCTACCTTGTTCCTCGCAGAGTGTGTTCTAGTGTATGTAGATGCTAGCGCGACCACGTCGTTGTTGAAATGGCTAGCAGGCAAATTTTCAAACAGCCTCTTCGTCAGCTACGAGCAGGTAAACATGAAGGATAAATTCGGCCAGGTCATGTTATCGAATCTCCGTAGCCGCGGATGCTTATTGGCGGGCGTGGAAGACTGTGAGTCGTTGGAGACTCAACAAAGGCGGTAAGTATATCCTTGACACTTTATCTCTGTTCAACGAGATGATAATTTGTTTCTCATTTTATTGCAGATTTACCATAAACAATTGGGAGGGCACGAGCTCATGGACGATGGTGGAAGTTTATGATTCACTGCCTGTAATGGATCGTAGTCGAATCGAGCACATAGAGATGCTGGACGAACGAGAACTTCTTACCCAGCTACTTCAGCATTATTGTATCGCCATCGCTTGGAACGGACAAACATTCAAAAATCTATCTATAGCACAGGGTTAGATCACCACCTAACTCTTCCTCTCTGTGTCTATCTTGCGAGTTACTCCAGGTAATGGCATCATATAATTCCTAACTCGGCGAGTTCTTGTGAATTACTTGTAATATCCCAATCGACAGCAGGAGATTAACGATTTTTAAATTGCGCTTAAGTATATCCCGATTAATCGATAGGATTCGAATTAAAGTACTTCTAACTTTTCCATCTTTCAAACAATTTGCCGTAATAATTTTTGTATATGCTTCGAATATATTCGTCCTCCACTAAGCGCGTCATGAATGTACTATTTTTTAATGACTACTGTAAAACGAGACGTGATAAAATGATTCTCGATGTTGATTCGGACGTGATGTGGTTAGCTAATATGATAACAATGACCGGATAAAGCCATCTTGATGTCCTTTCGCAGATTTCCAGTCATCTTAATTTACATTTAATCTTCGAATTTTATGTATAATGTATAATGATTCTATCTTTGCAAAAGATCGATTACGTCTCGCTTCTTATTGCAGATTTTTCTGATGTATAAAAGTACGGTCGATATTATAATTATTATAAATCGCTATTGTTATATAATTGTGTATGTGCGGCCAAATAGCGCGATAATAATGCGCAGAGTAATTTATTATATTACGAGATATATCATCGAAGATCAACTATCCAACGCTCATTACGTTTTTTTTCATCATTTTGTTTATTATCCGACTATAATTTCATTTTAATATGAAAGTTTTAGATTTTGTATTAGTTGCAAAGGAGAGATTTTTTTTTTTTTATAGACGCTAAATCTGCTTCTTTTATCTGCACAGTTTTACATATTCCGCATATAAACGGCAAATGTGTTCTTGTTGTGCAAGAAGAAAAAAAATGTAAAGAAAAAAGAAAAATGTCTAGAAAGTACAGCGATTCTATGTTTTTTATCTAGTTTCTATATTTTGAGTCTCTTTCGTTGCGAATATAAAACTGTATTTTTCTAAGATCTTCGTATATAGAACTCCAATTCTCTTTGAAGGTCTTAATACACGAGAATCTGAGGAAAATGGTATAAAATTATTTTGTATGCGCGATATGATCTTTGAATGTATATTAAGTATTAGAGATTATGAATCATTGAGTCGTGAGGAGGCGATTAATATTACGATATATAAACGCGTTATAAGCGATCAGTTTCGCATAGATGCGTGGCCTGCGAGCGCGCGATGTGATTGATTATTTAAGATAATAAACGCAAAAGTGTGCACAACGAAAGTAAGACTAAGCAATCGAGCAAGTACTTAAGTACTTCTGCAAATGGATTGACGCGCATCGCGAACATCAGCCTTAAAAAGTCGGCGATGTATCTTTTAATTAATTTCATTTATTCGCTCGTAGATGTGTCGAACTTATTATCTTCGCTTGCATTAACTGTGAATATAAAAATTGCGTGCCGATGTTCTTCGATAAAAATCCGATCAGTTGATTTTATAACATGAGAAACGCATATGCTGGCACAATATAGTTGCTCCGTTTCTTTTCTCAACACCAATACCAAGTGTACGTTACATCTAAGCAAGTCATAGAACGATAGTGTAAAGGATCAGAAGTCATAAAGATTTATTTTCATATTGAGGAATATCAGGGTTACGCATGTATATTCAATTAAAGATAATACGAAGAGATATAAGCTCTTAGGAGACATTCAAATCATCTTTTTATATAGATATCAAGTGCTACAACAAGCAGAACTTGGACTTTATCGTCGTTTGCACGGTAAAGTGAAGTGTGATTGCAGAGATCGTCTGTCGAGCATTAAAAAGAAAGGGACACTGATTGTTTTTCTGGAGTTTGACGGCCTACCGGATTGGAATAATTGCATTATAGTGGTATTGTATAGTGTGTGTACATGTGATTTTAGCGATTACGCCTCAGACAAACGACGGTGATTTCTCAGTCCTGTTCAAGCGTTATAGGAACCTAGCAAATTGAAAAATAGGATATTTTTTAACATCTAAATTTTTATTTAAATAAATAGACAAACGTTTTTTGTTAAAAAAAATATATTTTTGATAATAAAATCGAGATAAAAAATCGCAAAAAAATATTGAAACAGAAAAACACTTTAAATTTCTATATTTTTTCGAAGTATAAAAAGAAATTTTTTGTAAATTCAATTCCCAGGTTCAGATATATTTAGTCCTGCGAAAAAATTTCGCATAAATTAAAAAAAAAATTCTTTCGTAAACCAAAAATAATAAGTATGAAGATAAGAAATACCTATTTTTTATTTTAGATAATTTATCGAGATAATCTTGACCAGGCGAGCGCGATATTATTTTGAATGCTATTATTATCCTGTTTCAATATCCTTTGCACTTTTTTATGTTAATTTTATTGTTAAACAATATATTTTTTAATATAAAAACTATTTGTCTATTTGTCTAAATAAAAATTTTACACTATGTTAAAAAGTACCCTATATTTCGATTCGCTAGATTGCTATAACGAACATTCTTCTGTAATCATCTTTTACCCTGTTTCGGGCGTTTCTTTCTCATACTTTTACCGTTATGTGAACAACGGTAATTTATTAGATTTAAGATATTAACGAAAACACACATTCTGCCGAATAAACTACGTAGACTTATAGAGACTGTATGGATGATCTCTCATCCCTTCAACGAGTAAAATAACATACCTGGAGTAACGAACATACATACATATATAAAGAGAATAATTTCTCAGATGTTCTATTTTTCTCAGAGGTTACAAAAATTGCAGCCATTGTTACGATGTCTATCAACGTTCGTAGGTAAATCCCTGCCTCCCTCGCCCCCGACATGTTGCCTTCTTTGCATGTAGAAAAATAATCCCCACTTTTCGTATTAGTTTCGTGTCATGTATAAGTTAGTTTGAGGCAAAACCGACTAATTTATTCGAATGCTCGTCATGTGTTCAAGTCTGCTTCAAGTTTGAGAATCGAAACTCTTCGAATCTAAAGTTCTCGCATTAATGGATGTCGTCGTGAGAATTCGAGCAAAGCGCTGCCACTATGAAAATTGAGCGAGATTTCCAGCTTTATTGAAATTCGGCAAATTTTCACGTGCACTTGTTGGCTCGTTAAAATGGGGAGAAAAGAAATTACAATGAACCCATTAATAAAATTTTTATCTAAACAGTCTATGGTGAGGTTTACTTTAAATAAGTAAAGACATCTATTCGATTAATTACACATTTTTGATTACATTATTCAATTAGAAATGACCAACTCTATATTGTTTAATTTTGTCTATGTAATAAACAAAGAGTTTTATTTTGCTAGAATTACTGCTGAAAAAGTCGCATTCAAAAAGTTTGTTTTACTTAACATATTTTTCATAAACTGCGAGAAATCGAAAATGGCAAGACAATTTGATTTTCAAACTTCAAGTAATATATGGTCATGTTGTGCGGATTTTGCGTGCAGCTTTATGTTTCTTCGCCTCCCTTTCGTTTTACATAAAATATTAATCTCATATTACACACGGATGTTACACACCTTGAAAAAAAAAAGATACACTAGATCTATATATATAGGTATATATATAGATACACACACACAGTGTGCTTCCACTTATTATGGATAAAATACGATGGAAAAATGTGCATCTTAATATTCGCATAATTGTGATATTGTTAAATTATGCATTTAACGATTAGAGAAAAACGAGTGATTGGTTATTATAATTAATGATTGTAGCTTCCTGTATAATACATTTCTTTCATATGTCTCATGCTACAAAGAGTTTCTTTAAGTGGGAAAAGAGAGCAGCTATGATATAATATTAAATTATATATAAATATTTTTAAATGTATAAGATATATATGCTGTAACACGATACACTTCTCCCATTTAAAGTCTTTAATTTAATTTATATTATGTAAAAGACGACTTAATACATCGTGTGATCTATATATTAAATGATTATTTTTATTATTTTAACAAAAGTGATGGATATATATAAATAAACAGTATCTAAAAAAAGGAAACTTCAAATAAATATTTGTATGAGTATTTATTTGGAATCGTCGTTTCGTGTAAAGGTATAAAGAGAATATTAAAAATACATAATTTTATATTTACATGATACACCTTATGCTTTATACCTTACATATTACTAATTTACTAATTGCTTTGTTCATTGCTCGAAATTATATGCGTACAAACAATTTATATGGAAGATAATTGGTCACGTTTTTTTATATTTTTTACATCTTTTTTACTTTCACTTATATTTTAATCCCAAAAATTCGAATTTTTTATTTCGCGTACATGTGCCATTTGAAATTTATAATGCATATTAATTAAATACAATTTTTTGAGATTTATAGATTAATTTATTTAATCGACTAAATTCACGTCAACTTATATACATACACCGTCGAACAATTAAGTTTCGAGACTCGCTTCGCATTTCCAAACGTTTGATCCGTTTGTGCTACTATTTTTGGAAGTTATTCACAATTCAATATTCAACACATGATGCAAGTTTTAAATTATTTGGTTTAATAATTAATGAGATACAGTCATACGAAGTTGTTACAAAATTTTGTTTAAAAATCGGTATAATGGAAGGAACGCTTGACAACGCACCAACATTAAATTTTTCGTTAAATTAGAGAAGTCGCCAACAGAAACGTTACAAATGATTCAACAAGCCTACGGAGAGTCAGCTATGCATAAGAATAATGTTTCGAAGATACAGATGACATAAAAAAAACGTGAATCAAATTTTGAAAGAGCTTGCTTCAGAAGACTAGGTTTGTTGAATCATTTGTAACGTTTCTGTTGGAGACTTCATTAATTTAACACAGAATTTAATGTTGGCGCGTTGTCAAGTGTTCCTTCCATTACACCGATTTTTAAACAAAATTTTGTAATACAACTTTGCGTGACTGTATCTCATTAACTATTGAACTAAATAATTTAAAACTTGCACCACGTGTTGAGTATCGAGTTGTGAATAACCCCCTAAAATGGCAGCACAAACGGATCAAACGTTCGGAAATGCGAAGCGAGTCTCGAAACTTTATTGTTCGACAGTGTATAATTGCATTAAGAATTATGAGAAAGAATTATGAAATTGATATCTTTTCTCATCATGCAAAGAGCAATTCCTATTGTTCTTCATATCCAGCATAAATTATAAAATTAGATAAGTCGTTTCTTACAAGAAAAAGAAATAAATTTACAATATCCTTAAAAGCCCAGAGGATTCAATTGTACGCACCCACCGACGTCGCATACGTTCCTCGAAATTTTACTCAATTTATTAAAGATGTTCAAGTTCTTGTCAGAATTGACCTGCTGCAAATTGTATGCAATGCGGCTGGATGCCTATATAAAATAATGCGAAATTAAATAAAGCGTTTAATATTATAATTATAAAATGAATCGCTTCACATTATCACTAGTAGGATCAAATAACATTTGAAACATGACAGAATAAGAAAATGATCAATTGTTACTATTTAAGAGAAAAAAATATTTTGTAACGTTGCACTTTCTAACTGCTCCCTTGTACATAAAAATTTATTTCTAATATTAAAAATATATATTCTAATCGTTAGATTAGAAAAACATATAATGAAAGATTATAAGCAAATAGTTTAGATGGCAGCTTTGATCCTGTTAGAATAAAGAATATAAATATATTCATACCTCCATGCACCAAGTTTCCGCCATTAACAACTCATGTTCTGCACTAGGAAGATTCTTATTTAGCGACATGGTCGCCCTGCTCAACACAATTGCCATTGTATATGTATCAAAAGCAGCTTGCGTAATCCTGTTGAGGATAAACTGTTCTTCTACAATCCCTCGTCCATATTTAATAAGAATGTTTTCTATCACTCGACCAAAAGTTTCCACACTCTGCAATTGCAATATTCTTTATATACAAACTTATGTTATACAAGACTTTAGCCTATTGTTTATTTTATTGTTTTTACCTTTGAGCAAAGCGCAGCGCTTTCCGTCAATCTCGGATGAACTAAATCCCCAAAAGTAGGCGGCGATCTTAAACCGATTGCTCTGGTCGCTCGCTTAGTAGCTTCCTCGAAGATCAGCCCTAGATTCGCCGTGGGATTCTTAAAGGCTTTTTGCAGTTCTTTCAAGTGACTACCAGCGTACTGGATGCCGGTGAGTGACACGAACAGACGCAAAATGTCGTTTGTCCCTTCGAAGATTCTGAATATGCGCAGATCGCGCAGTACACGCTCCAAACCGGCTTCTAACATGAAACCCATACCGCCTAAGATCTGAATAGCTTCATCGCAAGTCCACCACGCGGATTCGGATGCGAAACACTGCAACACAAAAAGAATTGGTAATGTATAATACAGAGGACGAGTACGATAAATTCGCGGTTCGTAAACACTAGAATTAGATTTTTGTTTCTATTTGTATGTCGTCTGTGTATATCATTTCTACATAGTTCTCGTATCATAAAATAAATATTTGTTGTTTGAGGAGAAAAAACTGGCTAGATAAAATAATGAAAAAACAGACTTTCTTTTAATTCATTTCTCTAACGAGCTTTTTCTCCCTATCAAATGGAGACACCAAAGTTATTTTATAGAACTTTATAGAATCTTAGTCTCTTAGAAATTTTAATATGTATAAGTAATGGTTTTCTTTGTAAATTTACTGTAATTTTATAAATTTTTATAATTATTTTGATAAATTTCGATAAATCAAATTAACCGAATGACAGGAGAATCACCTTCGAAATAGCTGCTTCTAAGTGATAGTCTTGGCTTCCAAAGTCCATGTTACCAGAAATTGCGTATGCGAGAGACTCGGTAATATAATGTAGTATAGTCATACGCGCCAACTTTTCTTGTATGGTGCCATAATTGTTCAATGTACGACCAAATTGTACGCGTTGCGTTGCGTGGCTCACAGCCTTGTTGATGCAGTAACGCATAGTGCCGGAAAGACACGCGGACATACCAAATCTACCATTGTTCAGGATAGTCATTGCAACCTGGAATTAAAGCGAATATATCGTTGTATAATTGAGTTTATGAATAAAAATAATCCGCCAAGCTTTGTACAAGCTTGAAAAATTGTGAAAACAAAAAAGAATTTTAAGAATTATTAAGTATAATATATTTAATAATTTGACTTATATATGTGTTATAAAAATATAATATAAGTAGATTATAATGTAGTGTAAGTATATACAGGGTGTCCTAGACCACCCGTACACCCCTTTTCTTTCAAAAACTAAGCATTTTAGAGAAAAACGTTTTGAACAAAAATTGTATGGTTTTGAGGGGAACATAAGATGGTGTCATTGGTTTGACCTTGGATGGCATCGTTAAGGTCAAGTCAAGGACACCTTTAATTTCTTAAATGGAATGACTTGACCTTAACGATGCCATCCAAGGTCAAACCAATGACACCATCTTATGTTCCCCTCAAAACCATACAATTTTTGTTCAAAACGTTTTTCTCTCAAATGCTTAGTTTTTGAAAGAAAAGAGGTGTACGAGTGGTCTAGGACACCCTGTATAATATAATAATATAATAATATAATGTAAATGTATTTTTAACAATTCATAATATTACACAAATGTGAAAAATTAGATTTACAAACTGTTACCTTAAAACCTTCACCTTCCTTGCCGAGAACATTCTCCGCCGGAATTTTGACGTCTTCGAAAAAAATCTCTGCCGTATTGCTACATTTGATGCCCATTTTTTTTTCAGGCGATCCGCTGGTAACACCACCGAATCCCCTCTCGACGATGAAAGCTGTCATCTTCTCTTTCGTTTCGCCCGTTTTCGGATCCTTGAAAGGCACTTGCGCAAAGACGGTCATGATGTTGGCAATACCGCCGTTCGATATCCAGATCTTGCTACCGTTGAGAACGTAGTGCGATCCGTCCGCGGACTTGATCGCGCGTGAACGTATTGAACTAGCATCGGAACCAGAACTCGGTTCCGTCAAGCAAAAAGCGGCGTACTCGCCGTTGCAAACCCGGGGTAGATATTTGGCCTTTTGTTCCGGAGTGCCATACAAAAGTATGCCCTAAAATAAGCACGTGTATAAAGTTTATTAAACGAAAAGACAGAGGAAAGAAAAAAAGCAATGTATTCAGATTATCAGAAAAAAATAGCAGAAATAAAGAAAAGAAATATAAAGGAAGAAAAATAAAGAAAAACAACTGTATCAAGGAAGAAGATCCATAAAGAAGTTTACCTTGAAACCTATGCTTTGGTGCGCACCAAGCATGATACCGATACCCAAATCATGATAGCCGCATATTTCGACGACTCGACTATACTGAGTATTTGTCAATCCTAATCCTCCAAATTCCTGAGGCACTTGCAGAGCAAACCCTCCCAGTTCCCAGAGAGCAGCTGCCGTTTTCTCATCTACACATGCGTTTTGATCGTTTTTAACCGGATCGTTGATTTCCTAAGAGAAAAAAAATAAACATGTGTCTTCATATAGATACTCTTATATTTTGCTTATTTTACTGTTTAAAAAGATATTTACCTCATAGAACTTCTCTACAGGATCAACGAGCATTTTTATCGTATCAGTTTGCTCCTCGTTCATGGGTTCCGGAAATGGAAACACTTGACTCAATTGCAATTGACCACGGAAGAGATTCATGGTGAAGGATTGAGATTCTTTTGCAAAAGCACTTTCCTGCGATTTTTCTTCTTTGAGCGGTTTTACTGCAGCTTGCGTAGCCAAACATCTAAACATGCGTTGGATACAATTTTAGTATTATTATTTTAGTAATTATTATATATTTCAATTATTATTTTTTAAGAATTATTATTAAACCAATTATATTTTCTTAAATATAAAATAAATAAAACGATAATAAATATATGTTAAGATTGTTCCATTTTAGAACATACAATATAAGCTTCAATTTATTCTATTTTATCCTATCTATAATGCAATGATCATAGGTCATAGAGTGATTTAATAATTGTTATAGATAAACAGAGTTTATAAATTCCAAACTGTCAATATATGACGTATGCGGAACATGCTTGACAATCCCGCGTACACGTGTATACATGTATATGTATCACAAAAGGTCGCGGTCCAAAGTCCACTAGTCCATATCACATATTTTGCAACTAAAAATACCATTGATATAAAAATGCGGATCGACGTGTGCAAGCTACATATGATTTATGAATTTCACAAACTATACAAATTGATTCGCCAAAAATCAAATATTTATCCTCTATGTAATAATAAACAAATATTTATTTTATTAATATATTTTACGATTTAAACTCCATTCAAAGGGCCATATCGATGAAATACGTATGTCATGCTAATTTAATAAAATAGAAAACAAAATTAATGTAATTTTTGACAGTTTAAAGTTTGCTCGAGATTAGCAACAGGTTGTTTCAATCGAAAGAAAAGACAATTGACGTTTCACCTTAGTGTGATCCTGGGTCCTAAGGGCGCTTCGAGAGCCTTATTAAGGTTCCTGGAAGCTGACGAGAATGTCTTGGTGATGCGAAACATTGTCTGGATACTTGTATTTATTCACTAATGACAATAATATAAGATTATTATCGATAATAATTACTTTCACTTTGCACAGGACAACAATCACAACATCTATACGTCACGATGACACGAACGATACTGGCTACTGGCTGTGTTCTGTGTTGCTACATTCAGGGAACACGCTTACGCGCTGAAAGTGTCGTTCTATCTTTGTTCTTTACTGAAAGTTGGACAAGGATAGAGCATGCTTATAACACACACTATAGTGTACTGTAGTCACGTGTCACCTGCAATCAGCAGGGCTGCATTCGAGAACTTCACCCGTGACGAGATTCCCACATGGGAAAAAATCCCACGGCAGCGCATCACTGCACCCGTGTGCACCGAACGTCATTTTATTTTTGTTGTTTACTGAAAGTTGAACAAAGATAGAACGACGCTCGTATGCACACGGGTGATGTTCTCGAACACGGCCCAACTGATCAACTATTGGATCTGTTCTTTATAACTGAACTGGCTGCACTAGTTCAGAGTTTATCTTTTTCTTTCCCTACGGCTTTGTTATTATTTGCACGGCAACTTAAACAATACTGTAAAAGACGCCAAATTTCTTTTTTATTTCATCTTATCATTTGCACGGCAACTTGGGCCTCCGGTGGCTCAGTGTGTAGCGCGCCTGACATCCCGGAGATCTCGGGTTCGATTCCCGACTCAACCCTGGCCTCTGCGCTTTCCCATTTTTTCTTTCCTACCACCTCCCAACAAAAATTCCTTCTTTCTCTCTCTTCTCTTCTTCCAGTATATACGCATAAAAACTGAATTTACACTCTAATATAACCTGTTGTTGGCCCAAATACATGACCCACCCCAGATCATTACGGCCATTTAAATATTAAGAATACAAGAATTTCCCTATTGGAAGGAGATGTCTAGACATCTGTGACTATTGGTCAACTTAGTTGTCATGATGTCGTGGCAAACAAATTTCAAATTTCAAAGAGGTTCACATCATTGAGCTCTATAACATAAAACATAGAGCTGTCAATAGTAAAGGAATGTCCCATTTCATAGAAAATAATACATACATACATGCTGGGTGGATCGCTATCTTTGTCAAGGATTGATTTTGCTACTATATTATATTTATTATATGTATAATACCATAGAACCATATTGATCAAAAACATCATCTTTATATGTCGATACTTCACAATAAATTAAAAAAAATAATTTACATACAATCATTTTTAATTTTACTGTTTTAATTCGTAAACAAAACCAATATTACCTGGAAACTGCGTATCTCTTTCATTGCTAAATAATATATATCTAATAGAAAATGTTTTTAGTTTAAATATATAATATAATATAATATAAAAAATAAGATAGAGATTCAAACAAAAATATATCTATCTCTTTCTAATTCTGGCCCTAAATTTTTAGGATAGTATATAGGGAAAGCTGCTTCTCCATTTATTTCTTTATGTCATGTACTATTTAATAAATTGCAATTAAAAAATCCCAAATAAAAAAAATGTCTGTCTGTATCCCTAACAAGACACACGTGTCCAAAACGCGTCCAGCAGAGGACATCCAGAGGATGTTTTACATTATGTAAATACAACTAATTATAATTATAAATGACAAGTTGGATGCAAAGGCAATATGGGACAATTTACAACAAAATCAGTTCGCTTTGCAATCGATCAATCGTGATCAATCGATGTGCGGCGCGGTAAAATTTTGGGACTTTGGGAATATTTGATTTTCACATAACGTGAAAATTTTTTTCCTTTTCAAAGAAATTAGGATATTAAAAACAAGCGCGCGTTGAAAAAGAGAAAGTGAGTATGTTCAGGAAACACAGCAATCGAATGTGATTGGTTCTTACTTCTAGAACCAATAAATCAACGTTCAGTGATGAGACGTTGCTCAACGTTGTGCAACGATTGGGTAGCAATCAAACGTGATTGGTTTTTACTTCTAGAACCAACAAATCAACGTTGAGTGTTGACAAAACGATGGTCAACGGTTATGTCTCCTGAACGCACCCAATATTACATGCGATCACACACGATTATTATAGTAATTACAATGGCCACGTTCGGCCAAGAAAACGCTCAGTATTATTATCGTCTTGTCAACACTCAACGTTGATTGTTGGTTCTAAAAGTAGGAGCCAATCACGTTTGATTGCTACTAAACGGTTTTCTCTGCTGAACGCGGCCGATGCTATGACCGAAGACCGAACATTGGCCGCGTTCAGCAGAGAAAACCGCTTAGTAGCAATCGAATGTGATTGGTTCTTACTTTTAGAACCAACGAATCAACGTCAAGTGTTGACAAGACGATAACCATAGACATAGTATATCTAGACCGAGCGTTTGCCTTTATTTAATGAGTGGGGGTAAAGATACACGTAGAAAAGGACATATTCTGTTCCGTGCCACTTACGTTCTCTTTCGCTCGCATGTAGCGTAGCGAAAGAGTACGCTATGCTACATGCGAGCGAGAGAGAACGCAAGGAGCACGGAACAAAGTATATCCTTTTTTACGTGCACCTTGGCCCACACTCCTCAACACTCGGTCTAGATATACTATGTCTATGACTACGTTTACACGTCACCCCTAATCGGGTTTAATAATATCCGTAGTTCTAAGGCTGGCCAATCACAGTCATTTTGAATCTTGAATCTCAATCTTCAATGCGTAGTCTGATACGGGCTTAACAGAGCTCTATGATGATAACTGAGCGCTTTCTCTGCTTAACGCGGCCATTGGGCGCGTTCAGCAGAGAAAACCGCTCAGTAGCAATCGAACGTGATTGGCTCTTACTTGTAGAACCAACAAATCAACGTCGATTGTTGACAAGACAATAACTGAGCGCTTTCTCTGCTGAACGCGCCCATTGATCAGCTGATCAGCTGTGGAATCAGACACAATATGGCGGCGATTGGCACGCACACATTGTCGATAATGATAAATGCGTGATATAACGAGTGCCACGGTCTTTATCGAAAACTAAATATTTTACGACATATTTTATTTTTTATATCAAAATATGTCAGATTAAGATATAAAATAACTCAAAAAGCACTTAATAAAAAAATACTTGATTATAGAGTTTTGAAAAGTTCTCGAGATAAGCTACAAGGATGTGCAATAAAAAATGAGGGGTTCCATTAAAAATTTTAAAATTACCCCCCGCCCCGTTTAGAGGGGGAGCGGGGACAATTTTATGTTTACGTAGTTAGAAAGGCCCTTCGAAAACATGAAACTTTCTCATGAACGATTTTTTGATTTGACAAATATTTTTAGAGTTATTAGCTTGTAACACTTTACGTGGGCCACCCTGTATATATAAATATATATATTGACTTCTATATATATATAGAAGTCTGTGAGATAGGTGCAATTAATAATTTTAGAAAGAAATCTTTTTGATAATTTAATCTTTACTTTATAAAGGCAAATTTTATGATGTAAATTTTTAGATGCAAATATTTCAAACGTGCGTAATTTATGAGATGGAAGAGAATTACAATTAGTAAGATGTAAACAATTTGCTCCAAATTATGAGCAAAAATACTTTTTTTTGGCTGATAAACATTATGGTTGATAAAACCATAATTATTCCGTGTTTGGTGTTTATTCCATGAATTATACTAAAATACTTTATAAAAATTCTATGATTACAATTATATAGGAATACTTATGGAAAGTCTCAGAATTTCGAGACGCCTAAAAGTATATCACTGGAATTCAGTGGCATGATTTGTAATGTGTGATATGACATTATGCGTCATAATGTCGTAATAATCCAAAAAAAGGAAAAAAGAAATATTGGATATTTATTGGATGTTTATTATAATAACGCATATACATGATATTATGTAATGTAAAAATGTGTATGTCAAAGAATTCTCTCACTTAAAATAATGTAGAAGAGAAGCAATATACAACTTATTATTTAAATACAAAATACAATTCTTCCATATGATATTAATCATATATCATATGTATGACAATGGTATATTTATTTTGTGATATGTGTAGGAGTTTATGAGACATAGTAACAATTCGATCAATTAGATGTAACGTGATATAATATTATAACTGTATGATTAAATAATTCAATTTACACAAAAAACTGAAAAATTATATATATATATATATGTCAAACGATATTTATATGTACTTGCGCTGGGATATGAAGATGTAAGAAAAATAATGCAAAATACAATATAATTTCGGTATTGATTACGGCATTTTATTCCATTGTAACTATATATTCATTTTACATTTTCAAAATTCCCGCCAAATCAAATATAGGACCGGCTAAAAAGCTGAAGTTTGGCATTATCGCGAGGAGACAACGGCCAAAAAAAGCACAGGCACACATCTTTCTTTTTATAAATCCATTTCTATATCACAATTTGGAATGCGTCATTTTTGGAGTGAAATATTTTCAAACACCAGTGTAAGAAAATCAAAACGTCATTATGTACAGAAAATACAAGGGAGGTATATCTAAATTTATTTCCATTTTAAGATTCAAAATTTATCGCAAGAGATGAAATTGTATTCCGAGATATCCTTAATTTTCGCAGCGCGAGTCGCACTCCGAAAAGAGTCGATAAGAAGAATCAGATCAGTCGCAGGGACAACGGTCGCTTTGATCCGCGCCTGAACAAGCTCCGCTTATGCGCGGCGCCTTACATAAATCGATGCGCCGCGGCTTTCAGTCCGCGCGATACATATACGAGTATGTATGTGTGTACATATGTATGGACCGCTCGTGCTGGACACTGACAGTCTGACAGTAGACTAGACGTATCCAGTTGGTGCCCGCCGCCAGACTCACGCTCATCGTCTGGAAGTCGCGTCTTCCGGTGTTCCGGTCACATCGACGTCGTCGATCTCGGCACCGGTTTCACTCAAGTGAATTTTCTACCCGACCGCGTTACATAGGTGGGACTGCTATAATAATCCGCCCGAGAATCGCTGACCCGGAATCGGTTGACTCGTCCCGACGTGACTCTTCCCTTCAATCATTCCTTACGGGTCCAATCGAGGGATTCAAATATCAGTGTTATCAATTTTGGTCGCGAAGAGGGATAGATTTTTTGAAGAAAGATGATCGTGCGGGAGAACACAAAAAGCGCAGCCGAAACTCATTTATAAGGAACGAAATTCGAACTCGTAAATTGGTTCAATTTCCCGATGCCGTGGAAGGGCTTGCTCGCGAGCAAAAGGCGTAGTTCAACGGTTCAAGGTCATAAATTATTTTAATTTCGGAAAATTTTTTTCGACGCGAGCGTAAGGTCCCTAACAACATACATGTCCAAAAGATGTCCGGAGGATATCCAGATGTTTCCTCTAGATATCGTTTGGATGTTATTTTCTGCATGTCCTCCAGATCTTACTCTCTGGATGTCCTTCGGATGTTGATTTTTGGATGTCCTCTGGATGTTACCCTCTGGATGTCCTCCGGATGTTCCTGGATGTTCTCCTTTGGATGTTCTCCTCTGAATGTTTTCCGGATGTTACTTCTGGATGTCCTCCGAATGTTATCCTCTGGATATCCCCGGATGTCTTCTGGACGTCTTTTGGACATGAGTATTAGGGATACGACGATCATTTTCGCGCGCTTCAGAAATTGAAAACGCACCGGTATATCAATCCTTGTTTCAGCCGCGCGCTCGGCAGCTTCTCTCTCTTCCCTCTCTCTTTTTCTTTCTCTCTCTCTCTCTCGTTCCCCCTCTTTCTCTCTCTTTCTTCCCCTGATATACATTCGTTCTCCTCTGAATGTTTTCCGGATGTTACTTCTGGATGTCCTCCGAATGTTATCCTCTGGATATCCCCGGATGTCTTCTGGACGTCTTTTGGACATGAATACGACGAATACGACGATCATTTTCGCGCGCTTCAGAAATTGAAAACGCACCGGTATATCAATCCTTGTTTCAGCCGCGCGCTCGGCAGCTTCTCTCTCTTCCCTCTCTCTTTCTCTTTCTCTCTCTCTCTCTCGTTCCCCCTCTTTCTCTCTCTTTCTTCCCCTCTGATATACATTCGTTTTTCGCGCAGGGAGAGCCGCTGCGATGAAGGGCCGTCGCGGTCATCGCGCTGTCGTCGCGAGAAACAGCCTGTCGTCGGGACAGTGGCAGTCACGATAGTGCGGTACCCGCCGATGTCGCCAGCGGTGGTCACGACAAGTCTCGTCGCCGAGGCTGACAGCAGTAGCACGAGCCTCAGACGATAGACCAGGGTGCCGTCACCTCACTCATCGCGCCCGAGAATAATGAGAATCAACGCGACGAAGATGAGCACTCCGATCGAGGAGAAGATTGATCAGAAGCTCAAGGTACGGTTTTCCTCGGAGAAAAAGGGCCAAAGCAATCTCGGGCACGCTGCCCGTCGATCTTCGATGATCAATAAAGCGTATCCGCGACTTCTACTTGCATGCTTATACAATTAGTCGCATAATCCTGGCCGCGACGCGTTTCGGAACATTCGCTTGAAACAGATGTGCATAGTAGATATTCCTGGATATCCATATATAATTGTGTTGGACGTATATATTAAACCAAGTTACGATTAGAGATTCAATTAAATTAATGTCCGTCTTAAAATTAATTCGGAAACTAATTTAAATTCCGAAGAGTAATTCAAATATATATGTAATGTATCTGACGTTTAATTTCTCTCGGTTAATGATAAAATTCACTGTAATTTTGTTAGGAAACATGGTCTCGTTGATATGATATGGCAGATAGATATTTATTTAACGATCGGAGATATTTAGCATCTAAAATTAATTATTAAGATTCGAGAATTTCATATATTCCCTTAAAATAAAAAATGCAACTTGACATTATTATTCCTCTGATATGCGCAAATAATACGATCGTATTTTATTAATCTCAAGTATACAGTCCGTCTCATTCCGTGTTCAGCCAGCTATGAATGTTTCGTTAAATGTTAATCACGGATTGCAGTCACGGCAGTATTTACCGCTAGATACGGTATGTGAGCGTGGCCTCGTGTTTTTGCATACGATAAGAGCGAATGAAAGGTCAAAAGAACCATGTATGCGACTGCGGTGCATTTTAGTCGGGTCGCGTTGCACGTCACGTAATTCTATTCGTTACTGTCCGTTTCGAGCGGATACACGCGTACATACTGATGAAGCAATATCATTCGGATGCCCCATAATTAGAAAACGCATTCATAGAATGTATCACATTTTCTCTCTTGTACAAAAACTTCCGTTTGAATGTGGAGTAAAAGTTGACTCTCATCTTCAACGCACATCTTCTCTAAAATAGAATATAGATAAAATTATTTTAATATATTTAATTATTTTACTTTTAATTTAAGTATCAAAGATATATAAATGATTCTCTTCCATTGTACGAGAAAAAATGTCTCTCGTACCTCAAATCTAAATAAATTTTCTTACGTTTTTAGAAGTCGAAGATGTGGTACGTGCAAATCCGAGAATTACGTTTTGGACTTTTGGAATTTTCTGGACGAGCGCTCGCACATCTTCAGCGCATCTTCTCGTGTCAATTATTCTCTTTGCGCGCACATTCTCGGCGCGTTTTATCATCCCGATGAAATTCACGACGCGACAGGTGCATGAAATGTTTTTCGATCGGAACGTCGTTAATCTCCTGTAAACGGGCGATGATTGCCCCGATTGCCGGAAAATGGTGAGAAAAGTTTCACCGGGCACGGATTTCATCATTTTTACAAAAATCTTCTTTAGAATTGATTTGTTGTTTCACCGAGATTTCTCGTGTTTTCTTCCAAATCGCGTAGCAATTATATACTAGCTACAATATACATAGCTAGATACGACAGTCTATAGAATTTCGATTGATATTGATAGAATCGATTCGTTTCTATAAACGTTAATTAAAGATGATTAAAGTTTAAGCGCGATTCTATGTCCTCCTTTCTAAATGTAGGAAGATGAGCCAGGGGATGACAGTTAAATCTTAGCTAACTTTTAACAAATGTTTGTAGGAACAACTTTACGGTGAAATTGGCTATTTGGAGCTTTTTAGTATAATTGGGGGATTCTAGACTTTATAGCCTAAGAAACCTCCAACGGCACGTAATTGATGCCTTCGCAGAAACAAGCCTTATCATTCGCTTTGATAGATGCTCCTACGTACGTATCATTGGCAGTTTAGTATCTGCCATTAAATACAATTCTGAGGAGAAAATCAATATTCGTGCCACAAATACCAATTAATTTAATTACTTTGACTTAATGTTTTTCACCATGTTAATAATATTACTTCATTAATATATATATACATATAATATCTACATATAATATGTAATATCAGATCTTGCTGAATTACATAAGAACTGTTACATCCAATAATTTCTTGTATTACGTATATAACGCGTTGTATAGTTTTTTTTATTTCTTCAGAGAAATTGCGATTTTTTTATATTGCATGTTTTTACAAGAACAACGATAGTTTGTTACGTGGCAATAAAGTTCTCGTTCTGCAACCGCGTAACGAGTGTTTCACGTTGGTTTTTTTCGAATCAAAAAGAAATGGAAAAGCTTATACGAACGACAACCATTATTTTCACGTTGCGTTCTTCGAATATTGAAGATTATTACGAAAGAGGTCGCGGTAGTGAGAAAACTGCGAAACTCTATTAAATATTACATATACTGAATTTATAGAGGACGATATGTAATAATGTAATAATAATGCGTGAAACTGTGGCATCTGTCCAAAATTGTGGAGTCATTTTTTTTGTCACCATCGTTTTATTGTTAATACTTTAAAAATATGAGATACATAATCGTAATTTATATTGGAAAACTTCATGAAAAAAGAATTCATTACGTGAATTTCGCGCAAGCTGATTCATTATCGATATATCGAGAACTCGTTTTGCACGTTTCGCTGGATCATATTCCCAGGATAATTTAACGTTCTGATAATAATTAATGTCGGATTAATTGGAACGGACGAATTGTTAACGAGGACAAATAACGAACGTGCTGCTTGTGCTCGTTTACTAAAAATATAACGTATAAATGTGTAAGGAGGGCATTCAGAAAAATCTATTGAAATGTCCCGGTTTAACGATTCCGAAAAATTTCATTTATCAGCCACGTTTTTGATTGTCACATTTAATCCATATATACATGCCAAGAATCGATTAATTTTGCGGGGCTCTTCGGGATTTTCGTGACCAATCGAGTGCAATTTTCTTTGACGAGATCGATTCGTTCACCGCTATGTAAAAAAATGGGGATATGGATTTATTTTTTATAAATTCATATTGATAAACCACTCCGATATTTCAATCTTTATATTTTATTTTTCATAGTTCGCGTAGTTTTCTTTTTAATATATAAGAATTCACATTTTATATAGAAGTTTAATATAGAATATTGGCAACTCTTATCGTAAATGATTTATATCGTCATCTTGAGAAAAATCGATTCAACATCGGTCAAGGAACCCGTAAATGAAAGATAGCTCGCGTTGAATTACATCTGATCTGCTACATATATTACGATGTCTATAAATGTTGACTGATCCTCTTAATAATTTAACTATTTTTTCTTTTACTGCACTTGTAGTTGTCATCGTCGAGGAAAAGAGTATCAAAGTCGAATCGCCGAATAATTTAGAGAGTCCTTGTTCACAAAAAGGGGGAATCGATTAATGAAACAAAGTCGTCGCCACATTGAAAAAAATAATCGGCATTTATAGATTGAACGAACTATGATGCGGTTCCCGCGAACCGCACATGCGACAAATTAACAAATATGAATTAATTTAAGCCGATTGCGGTCTCACGCGGGTCAAATATAATGGCCGGATCACACGGTTCGTTCCACCGGCCAACGAACGGGAAATAACGTAATAACGATAATTCCGTTTGGAATAATTGAAAACGATCGCTGTAACCCAATAAAACACTGACTGACGTCCAATTAAGAATTTATCGAAACCTTTCTCAAGTTCTCATGCATAAATGCATGTTTGGCCGCGTGCAGCGACTTTGTTAATCAAACAATATGCACAGAAATTTATTAATATCGATATCGCACATCACGGCCTGCCTCTTCTTTTTTAATCTTGGAACTACTTCCGCATGTACCACCCCTTCTTCTCTCTCTTGGATCTCTAAGAAATAGCTTTTATTTCCTCCCTTTAATTTAGCGGATCTTTGTCTTGCTTTTTTTGTTTTGACTCAGTGTTGCGAATGCAAACTATTCAGAGAAAATAATAGAGAGCTATATATTGTTAATCTTAAACTTAAAGTCGCAACTCACAAAAATGGAATATTTTTAACAAATTGTGAAGAGATATATTCGATTTGATATTTAATTTAAGGACAATTAATTTATATGATTTATCAGGCTATTAAAGCCGCTCCGTATCTTTTCGTTCGAAATTCCATTTAGATACGGGCGCGTTTTTTCTCATATTTTTCGAGCGAATAAAGTGACAGTTCTCGACGGTGGGGAATGGTTTTTAATCATTTGAATTTATTATCAATAGGTACGGACGGGAATGGTGACGGTTAGCGATGGAAAAAGTAAACCTATCCCGATGCGTTTGCACTTGTCGATGGAGGTATTGAAACTTCAACGAGAGGATTTGGAGGTAAAGTGCCTTTCGATAGTGTGTCGCATTAACTATTTATCGAGAATGAATAACCATCGCGTCGATATAAACGTGATATTTTATCGATCACGGACCGTTCTATGAAATGTGTCAAAGACTAGAATACATTTTAGCAGGCAGCGAATCACAATAAGCCACCTCTGGACGCCAAGGAGCGCATGGTGCAAATTACCAGGCAGAAGGTCGGCGGTCTAGGACTGAGCATAAAAGGTGGAGCGGAACATAAACTTCCAGTGCTGATATCGAGGATTTATAAAGGTCAGGCCGCCGATCAGTGCGGCCAACTCTTTGTAGGAGATGCAATTATTAAAGGTATCGATAAAACTGTACGCACGCGCCGGCTTATATAATTATATTATATAATATAAGTTCCGTCATCATCATGGTGAAATACACATTTCATATAATACATGTTTTATACGTTATATTTATATGTTTTATATTTTCTCGTACATTACACTCTTAAGTATCCGTCTTTCTCTAATTGCTGATAAATGATTAATAAGATAAGTCGAAAATTCGATATTGGTATTATTATATCATTATGCGTCTATCCTTGCTTCTCTCGCACTAATTTAATTCTACTTAGATTATTTCAGTCTGTATGAAAGCTATAATATCTTCTATTAATATTTGCTTCACATTATTTGCATCGTGCTGTGACGCAATATTGAAAGTTTCGCGATAGTTGAATGGCACCCTGTACAGTTAATGAGTATCGATTTCAATGTTCCTATTTGTGCTCGTTTCTATTGAAAGAAAAGTTGACATCGACGCTATTTCATATTATACTCGAGACAATCAAGATCTCTTTCTCTATTTATTACATGCTACTCTTTATGACAATGTCGAGAATTTATTAAATTATATAATCCATGCTCTATGATTTTACAGTGAACGGAGAGTACATTACGGCGTGCAATCACGATGACGCTGTCAATATTTTGAGAAATGCCGGTGACATAGTAGTTCTAACGGTCAAACATTATCGAGCAGCCAAGCCATTTCTCCAAAAAAACGGTACTGTAACATTATAAATGATTGCAAAAATAATTGTGATATACTTACCTCTCTACGTTGATATTTTGACGCTTATTAACAGAGAAGGAAGAGAAGTTGGATAATGTTGCCAATGGCACAGCGGAAGACGGATGGATATCACCTAATAGGCAAGGGGGCAGTCCCAGATGCAGCCACAGTCGACAAAGTTCGAACGCATCTTCCAGTTCGATGCAGTATAAAAGATGGGTGGACGTCATTACGGGTAACCATATTTTCATTCAAGTATAAATAGATAAATTTAAGATTCGAATCGCATTTATTCCTTTATTACATTTGGCGTCACATGCGCAAATTCTAGTTTTTCCTGTACTTTATTTATCTCACATTATTATTAGTATCTCAATATGAATGTAAAATGACTGCCATGCATTGTCAAGGATTTTATTTTAAAAACACTGTATGTGTGTATGTGTATCTTTATTTCTCGAGCTGAAAATATCGAGTAGCCGCAATTTAAATGTATAACACGAGCGTTCGCGGTACATAATGATTAATGATGACATTTTCAGTTCCGTTAATGATGGCGTACGTCACAAGATATATATTTGGCACCGACAAATTGAGGAGAAACGCGTTCGAAGTAAGGGGTCTTAATGGGGCGCGTACGGGAGTGATACACTGCGATGATAGCGCTATTCTCAGCCAATGGTTAAAATACATAACTGATAACATTACAGGATTAACGCACTTGCAGGTGATCAAATAATGCGATTGATCGCGTATCATATTTTCCATATATCTTTTTCTATATATCGTATTTTAAATAATTAATCGCTGATAATGTTAGCATGTATCATATCGAGGAGATGAGTTTGAATTTGATTTTAGATGAAACTGTACAATCGTAATTTTGGAGTCGGTGAACGTATAGAATATATGGGCTGGGTGAATGAGGCAGTAAGCAATAGTAATCAACCGTGGCAGAGTTACAGACCGCGATTTTTGGCTCTAAAGGGACCGGACCTGTTGCTGTTTGAGACACCTCCTGTACGTATTAATTTGCATACCTTATTTCGTTTATTTGGGATTCATTTAAAGTCATCGGTTTATAATAATAATTTTATGGAATGCATAATTGCATAGTAAACAAAAAATGTAAGAATTTAAACAGAATGCCGCACGTCAAAAAACGAGCTGTCTGTGAATAATACTGTTTTTAATCTTAAATATGTATTAATCTATAATTAAAATAGTGAGAAGTATTGTACATAATAAAAGGTGGAGCGGAACATAAACTTCCAGTGCTGATATCGAGGATTTATAAAGGTCAGGCCGCCGATCAGTGCGGCCAACTCTTTGTAGGAGATGCAATTATTAAAGGTATCGATAAAACTGTACGCACGCGCCGGCTTATATAATTATATTATATAATATAAGTTCCGTCATCATCATGGTGAAATACACATTTCATATAATACATGTTTTATACGTTATATTTATATGTTTTATATTTTCTCGTACATTACACTCTTAAGTATCCGTCTTTCTCTAATTGCTGATAAATGATTAATAAGATAAGTCGAAAATTCGATATTGGTATTATTATATCATTATGCGTCTATCCTTGCTTCTCTCGCACTAATTTAATTCTACTTAGATTATTTCAGTCTGTATGAAAGCTATAATATCTTCTATTAATATTTGCTTCACATTATTTGCATCGTGCTGTGACGCAATATTGAAAGTTTCGCGATAGTTGAATGGCACCCTGTACAGTTAATGAGTATCGATTTCAATGTTCCTATTTGTGCTCGTTTCTATTGAAAGAAAAGTTGACATCGACGCTATTTCATATTATACTCGAGACAATCAAGATCTCTTTCTCTATTTATTACATGCTACTCTTTATGACAATGTCGAGAATTTATTAAATTATATAATCCATGCTCTATGATTTTACAGTGAACGGAGAGTACATTACGGCGTGCAATCACGATGACGCTGTCAATATTTTGAGAAATGCCGGTGACATAGTAGTTCTAACGGTCAAACATTATCGAGCAGCCAAGCCATTTCTCCAAAAAAACGGTACTGTAACATTATAAATGATTGCAAAAATAATTGTGATATACTTACCTCTCTACGTTGATATTTTGACGCTTATTAACAGAGAAGGAAGAGAAGTTGGATAATGTTGCCAATGGCACAGCGGAAGACGGATGGATATCACCTAATAGGCAAGGGGGCAGTCCCAGATGCAGCCACAGTCGACAAAGTTCGAACGCATCTTCCAGTTCGATGCAGTATAAAAGATGGGTGGACGTCATTACGGGTAACCATATTTTCATTCAAGTATAAATAGATAAATTTAAGATTCGAATCGCATTTATTCCTTTATTACATTTGGCGTCACATGCGCAAATTCTAGTTTTTCCTGTACTTTATTTATCTCACATTATTATTAGTATCTCAATATGAATGTAAAATGACTGCCATGCATTGTCAAGGATTTTATTTTAAAAACACTGTATGTGTGTATGTGTATCTTTATTTCTCGAGCTGAAAATATCGAGTAGCCGCAATTTAAATGTATAACACGAGCGTTCGCGGTACATAATGATTAATGATGACATTTTCAGTTCCGTTAATGATGGCGTACGTCACAAGATATATATTTGGCACCGACAAATTGAGAAGAAACGCGTTCGAAGTAAGGGGTCTTAATGGGGCGCGTACGGGAGTGATACACTGCGATGATAGCGCTATTCTCAGCCAATGGTTAAAATACATAACTGATAACATTACAGGATTAACGCACTTGCAGGTGATCAAATAATGCGATTGATCGCGTATCATATTTTCCATATATCTTTTTCTATATATCGTATTTTAAATAATTAATCGCTGATAATGTTAGCATGTATCATATCGAGGAGATGAGTTTGAATTTGATTTTAGATGAAACTGTACAATCGTAATTTTGGAGTCGGTGAACGTATAGAATATATGGGCTGGGTGAATGAGGCAGTAAGCAATAGTAATCAACCGTGGCAGAGTTACAGACCGCGATTTTTGGCTCTAAAGGGACCGGACCTGTTGCTGTTTGAGACACCTCCTGTACGTATTAATTTGCATACCTTATTTCGTTTATTTGGGATTCATTTAAAGTCATCGGTTTATAATAATAATTTTATGGAATGCATAATTGCATAGTAAACAAAAAATGTAAGAATTTAAACAGAATGCCGCACGTCAAAAAACGAGCTGTCTGTGAATAATACTGTTTTTAATCTTAAATATGTATTAATCTATAATTAAAATAGTGAGAGAAGTATTGTACATATAAAGATTACATGTGTGTTAAATCGTAGAAACATTCTTATATTATTGTCGTTTTCAGTGTAATATCGGCGATTGGTCACGCTGCGCGTTGACTTTCAAGGTATACCAGACGATGTTTCGCGTGATGCGCGAATCCGAGAACGTGGACGAGCGGCAACATTGTTTCTTGGCGCAAAGCCCAGGAAAACCGCCACGTTACTTGAGCGTCGAGACCAGGCAGGAACTCCTACGGGTCGAGGCAGCGTGGCACACCGCCGTATGTTCAGCTGTTACATATTTAAAGGTGCGTCGTGATCCGCATGCAAAGCAATTTTAACGTTATCATCAGCAATTTTAATGTTATCCTTTTAATCATGTTTTTTCTCTCTTTCTTGTTTCAGAGCAAAACCTTCCCAGTGACCTTTAATAGCAGAAGCGCGGGTTTAACATTAGAATGGACTCAAGGATTTACGTTGTCGTACGAAGGGATCGGTGAGATTGCGTGGCGTTACAAGTTCTCTCAATTGAGAGGCTCCAGCGACGACGGTAAAAGCAGGCTCAAATTACACTTCCAAGAACCGGATAGTATCGCTATTGAAACGAAGGTAAAACTGAATTCTGTGGTAAATTAAAAGGTTCAATATAGAGGTGTATTTATGTATTTATGTTTTGCATACATTTCAACAGGAATTGGAGTGTTCCCAGTTGCAAAACTTGTTATTCTGTATGCATGCGTTTCTTACTGCGAAGGTAGCCGCGGTAGATCCTACATTTTTAACGTCGACCACTCCGTAAAGAGCTGTAATATAGATGTAATATGATATAAACATTTTTGCCGACGAGAATCACCAAGTGAATCACTTTTGTGTTCTGTTGTCGTTATACGGACTAGAGAGAGAGAACTTGAAATGCGCTGAAAATTTACTGGAAGGAAGCAGAAAATGGAAGCGACAGAAACTAGTCAATATATCCAAAAAGTATTTTTATCATTTACATACATATACAGATCACAAAGCGGTACTACTCTATTCATCCTACCAAGCCAATTTCACTAGTATACATATGAACCTAACGGCTATTATAGTATTATACGCATTTAGATATAAGAATTCCCGAATTCTAGAAGCGGCAGTGCGCATTTATTGTCCGACTGCGACGCAATTATGTTATATGCTTTTGCTCTAAGTATATTCATTCTTTTTTGAATTTTTGAGAAACATAATATCATGTTTTGTGTGTATACATGACTATATATATTTAATATATAGTGTATGCTATTTTAATTATATTTTAGTAATTTGTTCTCTCTCTTATTTTGAATCTTTTGATTGTGCTTTCGTTAATATGGAATATATAAAAAATTATCAGAAACTAGTCAATATATCCAAAAATTATTTTTATCATTTACATACATATACAGATCACAAAGCGGTACTACTCTATTCATCCTACCAAGCCAATTCACACTAGTATACATACGAACCTAACGGCTATTATAGTATTATACGCATTTAGATATAAGAATTCCCGAATTCTAGAAGCGGCAGTGCGCATTTATTGTCCGACTGCGACGCAATTATGTTATATGCTTTTGCTCTAAGTATATTCATTCTTTTTTGAATTTTTGAGAAACATAATATCATGTTTTGTGTGTATACATGACTATATATATTTAATATATAGTGTATGCTATTTTAATTATATTTTAGTAATTTGTTCTCTCTCTTATTTTGAATCTTTTGATTGTGCTTTCGTTAATATGGAATATATAAAAAATTATTGTTCAGTATTATAAAGTAATAGTATTGAATTAGAAATTATAGAAATCAGTATATGTACCCGTCGGGGTGTGGGGAGAGAGTCCCTGATTTTTAAGTTACAATAATGGCGCGAATAATGTTTTTAGTTATAAAAAATTTTATTTGTATATTTATATAAATATATATTGCATTGCGTACCATACATATATCAGGTGCCTTAAAAAACCATGAACAAGAAGTAGCTAAATTAAAGGAGGCATCAAATTTCTGTTTTTCATCACTGAAAAGAATCATTACATATTCATGTATTTAAAGTATTGATAAAACGAGAACAACTTGCATTTCAGTAAAGAAATTCTAATTTGCAAGCTTAAAGGGGTTCTTTAAAGAGTGTGATTGAATTGAAAATAAAACAATATTCGTCCATACGATAAAACATCAAAGTAACAATTACAGCCCTATAGCAATAAACTGTAATCTACAATTAGATATGGCTCACACTCAAACATAATGAATATTGGAATAGTTTGTTTTTTGATGCAGTATTATCGATGGGGGCAACAAGATCTGTAAATTAAACGTGAATATCATTAATATTGAGCTACTGAAACACTTGTAATTGTTGACTTCCCTATACTCGGCTATAATAGCTATGTTCTATGGATGGTTTAACTTACGCGTTTCGCGAAAACTCATCTGTATCAATAATTCTAATGTGACAGAACGTCGTATATACTAAAAATTTATTTGATACATAATAAATATACGAATGTCATGTTTTAACATAGCTCGACAGATCTATAATATCTTTAAATATATCAATTATCTTTTTCCAATCACTAGCTATAGTGACATAGAGTTAATACTGTATATTATGTGAGTATTTTATCGGTTTGCAATTATATTTAAAGCAATAAATCTATAATGAACAAATAACTAGAGAAAATGATAAGCGAGTAAGATATAAAAACATATATATACAATAAAAAAATTGCATACATGACAGGAAAAGAGAAATAGTGTCATTATCAATAGGATCCGCAGGAATGTTGCACGTTTTCCAATGTACGCCTAATCGTTCTTAAGTTTCTTACATGTAAGACGAATGATCATGTATGTTGTGTCATATCGTAGACAAGATGTAAAACTAATTTTAATATCGAGGGAACCGTTATGGGTTTTATTTTCCATCGTGTGTTTCGAGAGTCTCCGGTTACTCGTAGAAAGTGCCTACAAAGTAACATAGAGAAAATGTAAAAAAAAAGTTCGCTTTTCTGTTATATCATAATGTCGATTGTACTTTTCTAGTCTATAAACTATCAGAATGTTTTACGCAATACCTATAATCAAGGTACATTTAATATCATTCTTCACTTTCGGTAATGAGAATCTGAAACAATTCGGAAAAAGGAAACCGCCGTTTTTTTTTTTATAAATTCGTTGCACGGATGTTTATCATATAAGAAAAAAAAAGTATTCTCCTGCCCATTTTTCCGAATATTATTCACGATTGATATAATGAGTATATCATAGTACTATAAGAATTAAACGATGATATTCGATCTTGAATTTGAGCACAGAATGATGTGGCGATAATTTATATTACACCATTCTTACTGGAAAACTTATGTCCGTTTGTTATAAATTTTTATTTCCTGATAGTAAATATTTTTACATATCCTATTAATATAATTTTTCTATTAAAATTTAAATAATGATTAGGGCCAGTTTGGAAGCAGGCATAATGGTACTAATTCGACTTTTATTTAGATCCCTCTCAACCTTAGTAAACATTTGTTCTTTATTACTTATTAGTACGAGATTATTGAAGTGGAGATTATACTATGCATTACACAAGAAAATCTAAAGTTTCATTTAATCAGTTTACAAATTTTGTAAAGAAGACTGGAGTAAAAATTTGAAAAAATTAAAAATTGATCTGAATAAAAGTTGAAATTAGTACCATGACAATCTACACTTATTGTTAGATAATATTGTTTTTTTATTAAGAAGTATTTCTGTATATTTTATTGCGTATAGCAAAACCTGTGCCTAACAGCTTTAACGCTATCATCAAAATTTTTTTTTTAAATTGATCAAAATTTTGTTTCTTTAACTTTTATATTTTATTTTATTATAAGATAATATTTGATTTAATAGAATTTAATTTATATATCATCGATGTTTAATTTGGTAAAATTTTAAAATTTGATATATTGAATAATTGTTTTCTTTCCTCAATGATGTGTATTATGCTCATTGTGTATGTTCTGTGCTTAAAGTAAGGAGAAATATCAAGAACTGCACAATTATACTATATAAGTAAAAGTTAATTAAGAAAAAATGGAATGAAGCTGGAAAAAAAAATCTTAAGCAATTAGATCTAAAAATTACTTATAGTTACTTATTATCGAAAAACTGCAGGTTGTTCTACATAGCGCATTGTTGAAAAATCTCTAATATAATGTATACTCTGTTATACTATTTATGGAGTTAATTAAATTCCTTTTATATTTGTTAGACTACAAATTATATTTGAAATTAAATCAAGAAAATTTTTCAATTTGGATCAGTGTATAAGTATATATATATAATCCTGGTAAATGTTATTAATTTTTTAGTTTATTTTATATCCACGAGCTGGACAGTATAATTTTTCCTCGAATTTACTCGTTTGTGTGTGTATGTTTTTCAGAATTCAGCTCATTCCATAAATCATATAATAGTATAGCTCTATACAAAGATTAGCAAGCATTCGCAAATCCAGATTCTATTGTTTCGTTTGTTAGATTTACCTTCCCCTTTCTTTTACCTTTCTTTGTACATATTATTTATACCAGATAAGAACAGAATGGAACAGTGAGCTCGCGGCGCCGGCTAATAAATATATTAACATCGGAATCTTATATTTCGCAATATATAGTTTATCTATTATAATGTTTATCTTCTCCCCCATTGACAATATGTTTCAAAATATATCATTGTTAGAAGTTACAAATTAGATGTATTCTTAATTGTGTGCCTAACGGTTTTTTCTCTCCTTTATTATATTCCGTATATACTTATATAATTTAAGACATAAAAACATGACTTTTTTATACTTCATATTTATATTTATTATCAATTATTATTTATTAATAATTATATTTTTACGAGTTATATTACGTGATTTTCAAATGAGCACATTCAAAACGTTGAAAAAGAAAACGGCAAAATGGAATTTAACCATGTGCGAGGTATGTATACAACATTTGATTTACAAAAATCAATTTTGTTAACATATAAGAACGTTTTTTATTATGAAATTACTTTCTAGATCATCGAATAATTATAGAAAGAATGTAATTTTTACGTCATAGTGTATCGATAAATATATATATTTTAATAGCCAAAATAATTTTTTAAATATGTTTTATTGGTGGATGAAATGATATTATCGAAAACTTTATATTTTAATCGCACGAACTTAAAAGTTGAAGGCTTTGTTGATTTAGATCAATACACTTCGGAAGAACAAAAGAAAAAAAAGAAGATGATGCATTGGTTCTTATGTTTTAGTCCTTTAAAGGAACATGGGTTCAATCTTTGGCTTGCTTCTTAAGAGTTGGCAACATAAGTGCATTAATTTTGCACAAAATTATTATGGAATACATTATTCTAACAAAACAATCTGGACTCTAAGTAGACGCTGTAGTATCAGATAGAACATTATAGAATCGATCTATGTAGAACATATTTTAAATAACGGCAGAATGTGTTAGTATACAGCATATTATAGACATAGAAAGACGTTTATGGTTTATTTCTGATTTTTCACATTTGATGAAATGTTTTCGAAATTATTTTTCTCCGTTTGATCGATATGCAAGAATTTGGGTGAATAGAAAATATTACACGGCTCAAACCCGAAAGCCAAACCTAATATTCATGTAGACTACAAAAGTCTCAAATATCAAAGAACGTGAACTATTTTCTGTATTACATTTTCAGTACTGGCAATACATAACAGGACGCAATTTTCAGAATTTGCTCTCTGAAACGTACGAAAAATATCCCTAACATATCCCATAGAAATCCTTAGGATGTTCCACAGGATCTCCCTGGATTCTCCAGAGGCTAGTATTCGGCTATCATTTACTCTTTCTCAGGACATCCAGAGGAGATCCGAGCATTAAAATGGGATATCCTCAGGATATCCTACATGTATGTCCTGGATACCCTTTGGATGTCCTAAGGACATCCTTGTGCTGTCTGAAATATATACATACATACATACAATACATATACATACTATACAGTTTTGATGTTAAACAATTTCATATTATTATTCTTCGTTACATATATGTAGACTCCGGATGGTGTAGTTTATTGGTATGCAATATTTGCCATCGAAAATCGGTTTTAATTCAAAATTTAGTTATCATTTAAATGAACATCATATCAAACCTAAATATTACCAGAAAATAAATGTTGCAATGGCATTTCGAGTATGTAGATTAAGTATATATTTCTTATTTTGCGTAATTTGATTGTGTTGACAAAGACATTATTATAGTCACATTTAAATGTACTTATGCGATTTTTATTAGTTTTTCAGT